TTGAAACTGATCAGTTTCAGCAGTGGCTGACGCCAGTTCCGACTTACATACAGATTCAACTTAAGAACAAACCTACAGTCCCTATCTTGTACGTAACCTGGGGACTGCCTGTAACTGTGAAAATCTTAGCCGTTACACAGTTATCTGCACTGTGGGGTCTGCAGCATAAAGCTTAATTTAGCAAAGCCTTTCTGTGAGTGGGGCTGCCAGCCCCTGCCGGTCTGGCTCTGAGGAGGCTCTACTGCCACAGTGACGCTCCTCTCCGGGAGTGGCAGTCCTTGCATGCCTGGCTTCTCGGGATGAGGCTTCACGGAGTGTAACCAGTGCTGTTAATTGATAAGCATCCGCTTTTGTTTTGATTCTTCTTTAGCTTTGCTACCAAGTATTCAGCATCACCAAATCTTGTAAGCTATGGCAATTTTAACTTTTCTCCTGAAGTCAGAGAGGGGAAGTATAGCAGATGTTTTGTGTTTATTCTCAAATACTTTTTTGTGTTAATTAGCTAATAATTGAAAGATTTTTTTTATGCAGTGAGCTGGGCTCTTACTAATTTAGAGATTTATTTTTTAATCTGTCAACAGACTGAGGTTTGATAAAAGGACTTTAACATCATTGCATCTAATTTTCCTTATACAGCTGAATTCTGCTGTAGATGTAACAACTGTAACACTATCACATCCTGTATTTTTTCACTTTTACAATGTTTTCTTTCTTTTATTTAAAATTTTTTTCTTTCAGAAAGTCCCACCTATATATAATGTTGCAAAATGCAATATGGCTACAATGCATGCACATATGCTGTAATGTGTGCTTTGCGCTGCTGGTAGACTTCTGATTAAGAGCAGCACTCAGTAGTTCCAAAACTTCATAAAAAATTTCAAAGTTTTAGTGTTGAAGATGTATGTTGATTTCAAGCTTTGACTTCTTTCAGGCAGAAATATTCAAAGCTACCTCCCAACTCTTATCTTCCTGTGTGAGGGGGGGATGTTAGCAGTTGAAACATAATAGTTATTATTGATGGGACAAAAATTTAGTTTGCTATTAAATAGCAAGTTTAATTTCTAAAAATAATTTCGCCAGCTACTTGTTGGGTAAATAGAACTTTGACACAGTGTATTTACTAAGTTGTTCTTCGAGGAGTGTCCCCATGGGTGTTCCACCTTAGGTACTTGGACACTGCTACATGCCTAGTCAGAGATTTAAGGTCGCAATGCCCTCTGGTAGGCTGCGCATGCGGAGCAGATGGGATGTGCAATGCTACTCCTGCACATGTGCAGCCAACTGTCCCCTCATTTCCTTCTCTACCGCTGCTGGCATCACTTGGAACCACAGTTGCTCTCAAGCTTTTCAAACTTTATCTTGTTCTTGTTGTTAGTAGTGTTATATTGTTCAGTTAGTAGTAGTAGTTTTTCTACTTTGTTAATTGTTATGTCTCTCTTTTTTTTTTTAAATATTTTATTGTTGTTAATGCAGTTTTTTGCTTTTGCAAAATTCCCTCCCCCCCCCCCCCCCCGAGATTCCAATGCTTCCTCTTCTGCAGACTCTCAGTTCTTGTCTCTGATGGGCACTCAGTGTGTACAATGCCTGGGACAGACGCACACTACCACTCAGTGCCAACACTGTAAGCAGTTAATGGCCCACACGCGCAACTTAAACCTCTCTCTGGAGAATATGGTGAAGCCAGCCTTGGACACAGTGTTTCTCAACCAGTGGTACGAGTACCCTTAGAGGTACTCTAGAGAAGTCTGGGGAGGGGGGTACGTCAACACAACTGAAATTTGGAGAAAACTGAATTTTTATTTTAAGTTTTACAGTGTTTTATTATGTACTACATTTATTATGTATTACATACTTTTTGCACCCAAAAATTTCATCGCCTGCCCGGCTATGATTAAGTTGTTTAAACAAATGTGTAGAAAAAATTTGTGTCTGAAAACTGTAGGAACTGGGGGTACTTTTGTTTTTAAAGGGGTACTTTATTTAAAAAAAAATAGGTTGAGAAACACTGCTCTACCCCCGCCTCGGCAGCCCTCTCCATGTCTGAGAAGGTGGCTCTGGCGGGTTTGAGCACCAGGGACTCTTCCTCTGAGCAAAAGAGATCTCACTCGCCAAGTAAGGGTGACTCCCCCTCAAAGAAATGGGGGTAAGCATCCAGAATACCTCCTGCGCCGATCTCTACCAGGGCACTGGACAGTGAAGTATTGAGACTGCCAAACACCGACCATTCCCGCGGGTTGAAAGACTGGGCACCAGGGCTCCTGAAAAGCCTAAGTCCAAATTGGCGCCACTGAAACTGTCTGAGCCCGCTTTGGCACCAACAAAAGCAAAGGCCAAATCAGCCTCAGCTGGTACAGCCTTAGCCAACTCCATTGGCGCCATCTCCCTGCCATCTCTGGACAGATCAGCCTACTAAGAGGAAGATGAGCTAGCCTTGAGCGATGAGGACTCTTCCATGTCTTCTCACTCTGCAACTCACATGTCATCGTCCTCCCCTGATAACACTTAATGCCCCCTCCTCCTATGGTGGGAGATTACTTCCGCTCATTCTAGAAGCTACACAAAAGGGAGGCGGATGTTTTGGAGGTCTCCTTGGTTAGCCTCCACAAAATGCAACATAAGCTGACCAGCATACTACATGTTCCCCATCTGCTAAGCTGCCCCTACTGATGCACCCGGTGTTGATGGATCCTTTCATGGTGATCTGGCAGACACCAGCCACGATCCCACTGATCTGCAAGAAATCTGACTATAAATTGTGTTGTACCACAGGGTGCCAATTTCCTGTTTTCCCACCTGCCTCCTAATTCTTTAGTGGTGGATGTGGTCAACCATAGGAGAAAACAGAACGCAGCTAGAAACATGCCGTATGATGAGTGGAAGTGCTTAGACCTCATGGGTAAGAAGGCATATTCCTCCACATGGTTACGGTTGAGGACTTTCTTTCCCAGGGCACCAAACTGTTCACAGACACCATTGAGGCATCACTCCATTCCCTCAAGGATTCACGGGCTACACTGAAGATGGTTGGCATCCATGTCCCTGCAACAAAACACAAACAGGGCAGGTATTTTACACAATACTACCTTCACTTTTCTCTCAGGCCCAGAGGTATTTTGATGATAATAGGCAACACCAAACTAGATCGAGGCAGACTCCTGACCAGCCCTCTACTGCCCAGACCTAAACCTCAAGGCAAAATTTTTGAAGGTTAGGTCAAGAGTCTGATAACACCTCCTTGTTAAAGGCAACCTCAGACCAGCACCTCCTACCTTTCTACCCTCAATGGTCTTCCATCACAACTGACAAGTGGGTACTGTACGTCGTAAAGGGCGGAATATGCTATCCCTTTGTCTTCTATCCCTTTTTCCCCCGCCCACCTTCCCTGTCCCTCTTCAGGGACCCATCTCACTAGAGCATCCTACTCCAAGAGATTAAACATTTATTCTGCCTAGGAGCCATAGAACCTGTACCTGATCACTACAGGGACAAAGGATGCTACTCTCATTACTTCCTCACAACAAAGAAATCAGGGGGAATAGAGACCAATTCTCAATCTCAGAAGGCTCAACCATCAAATACGACCCCAGCAGTTCAAGATGATCAGCCTATCCACTGTAGTCCCACCCTTAAACACAGGGGACTGGTTATTTACTTTTGATTTCCAGGATGCATATTTTCATGTATCCATCTATCTAGCGCATTGGAAATACCTAAGATTTGCATTGGGCAATGCCCATTTCCAATACAGAGTGCTGCTGTTCCGACTCTTCACAGCTTCAAGGGTCTTCTCAAAGGTGCTCATGGTGGTTGCCTTGCATCTCCATAAAAAGGGGATATCTATATTCCCCTACCTTGACAATTACCTGATGATGAGCAACCGTGAGTCAGGAAGCCCACAACGCAGCCTTGCTTACCAGGGATCTAATCCAGATCATTGGGCTGCAGATAAATTTATCCAAGTGCAAACTACAACCATCCCAGACAATGAAGTTTATCACCTCAACTGTATTCGGGCTGTAGCCTCCTTCCCACAATTGAGAATCCAGTCCATCAATGACCTTATTGCACTGCTCCAAATCAGCCCACAAGTTCCAGCTAGGACCTGTCTCCAGTTACTAGGTCATATGGCAGTAGCCACATCAGTAGTGCTCCATGCTAGGCTATACATGAGGCCCATGCAGCAGTGGCTAAAGACCGTATACCGACATTGTTACAACAATATCAATAAGCTAGTCTCAATTCCAAAGAAAATCAAGCGATTGCTAGACTGGTGGGCAGACCCAAAAAAAATGTGTGTGGTGGAGTACCTTTCCAGAGACATCCCCCAGTGATGTTCATCATGATGGAGGCTTCTCTCCTTGGAGTGGGGGACGCATTTGGGCCCTCTCACAATTAGGGTCACTGGCCCCTGCAAGAGTCCGCCCTGCACATAAACATAAAACAACTCAGGGCAGGATTTTACTCATGCCAACATTTCCTTAATTTCATATGCAATGACACAGTGCAAATTTTTACGGACAACCAGACCACAGTTTATTACATCAGGCAGGGTGGTGCCAGGTCTCACCACTTATGCTGGGAGGCTGTCCACCTGTGGACACGGTGCATTGCACTCAAAGTTCGCATACAAGCCTTTTATCTTCTGGGCAAGGACAATCTTACTGTGGACAGTCTAAGCAGAAAGTTGAACTCCAATCACAAATGGTAAATGGACTCCAATATTCTACAACAGGCTTTCAGTCAATGGGGGTTCCCAACAGTGGACTTGTTTGCAACCAGTACCAACACAGAGTCCACAATACAGTTCCCGTACGGGCATCGGCTTGTGCTCTCTGGGGGACGCATTCACAATATTCTGTAGTGCATATCTCCTATATGTGTTTCCTCCAAGCCTGCTCCTTCACCAGGTAGTCAACAGAATAAGGGCATACACGACTTCAGTAATTCCTATTGTCCCAGCTTGGCCACAGCAAACTTGGTACACCTACCTGCTACAAGTGTTCAGTAGGACGCCATGGCATCAACTGCTGCTTCCCCATCTTCTCAAGCAGCAGGGTGGGCACGACCGCCATCCATCCCTCCAGATTCTTCACCTCTGGGCATGGTTCTTCAGTGGTTCTCCTCAATAGAAACAGCATTCACTGATCAAATTAAGCAAACTTCCCTGAACAGCCATTGATCAACAACCAGGAAAGCTTACCTGTGTAAATGGCATAGATTCTCCCTTTGGGCCGAACAAAAGCATGTGAGAACCCATCGACGATGCCACTTTTGGATGTTCTTGAATACCTTCTAGACCTAAAACACTTGGGTGTTTCATATAGTTAATTTAAGGTTCACCTCGCAGATATAACAGCCTTTCATTAACCCACTGACAAGAAATCGGTTTTTGCCCATCCGACAACCAAGTGCTTCCTTAAGGGCATGCAAAACACTTTGCTGCCTGTCAAACCTGCAGTCTAAGCCTGGGACCTCAATTTAGTACTTTGGGCCCTCACCTGTAGGCCATTCGAATCCATAGAGACATGCTCCATGCTCCACCTTTCCATGAAAGTGGCCCTATTGGTGGTTGTTACATTGGCTAGGAGAGTGAGTGAAATTGGTGCTCTAATGGCTGATCCATTCTTCATGGTATTCTATAAAGAAAAAGTGGTTCTGAGACCACGCCCAAAGCTTTTTGCCAAAGGTTTCCATCTCTTTCCACTGCAAAGAACCTATAAATACTACCCTTCTTTTTCCAAAGCCTTATGCCAGCGCTAAAGAGGCTATGTGGCACTCGCACGATGTGTACAGAACAATTTCCTTTTACTTGGACAGGGCAAGGGGAATCTGCAGAACACCTAGACTCTGCAGTGGATACGAACAGAGATCCCTGTACTGCATCTGGCTGGCCTACTCCACCTTTAAGCAATATTCTCCATTGCAATTATGTGCACATTCCATGAGGGCCATGGCGGCTTCTACAGCCTAGCTCAGTAACATGCCTCTTGTGGACGTTTGCAGATCTGTGATGTGGTCTTCCTCCCACATATTTGCCTGACGTTGTTGATACTTGCCCAAATCTAGTACCCTGGGATGGGTATGTCATTCTGACCACAGCCCAGGTTACTGATTAGTTGAAGCACCCGCCTCCGATCATTGCTCCGTAGCCACCTAACGTGGAGTACCTACAGGGACACTCCTGGAAGAAGAGGAGAGGGTTACTCACCTTGTGCAGTAATGGAGGTTCTTTGAGAGGGTTGTCCCTGTGGGTGCTCCACCACCTGCCCTTCCTTCCTTCTACTTTGGATGTTATTGCTTCTATAGCAGAAAAGAAACGGAGGGGACTGTGGCTGCGCATGCATAGTAGTGGCACCGTGCGTGTTGTCTGCTCCACATTCACAGCCTACCGGGGGGGCGGGGGGGCACTGCTTCCATAAATTTCCAACTAGGCATGCAGCAGCGCCCAAGCATCTTAAGCTGGAGCACCCAAAGGGACAACCATCTCAAAGAACCTTCTTTACTGCACAAGGTGAGTAACCCTCTCTTCTGATTCTGGACTCCTGCATATATACGTTGTGTTACATGTGTTGTGTTCTCAAAGTATATGTTTGTCATAACTCTCTGAACAAACTCTTGAATTCAGTATGTGCTGTCTTTAAAACAATCCTAAAATCTCTGACGTGCATTTGTTTCTATCTTTCATCACTGGTTCTCTTCTCATCCCTTCTCAAGATGACTGAATCTTCTGATGAGGTAACTAGCTTTTGTCCCTTGTTTCCTGCTCATCTTCCTACCTTCATGTAAGGGTATAAAGAATAGAGTAAATATAGAACAGCATGATATGATTTGTACATATATCTTAAAAAATATTCTCTCTCCCCCTCTTTCAAACTGGTTACTGCTTATCCATAGATTTTTGAAGCTTAACAAGCTGTGAAAAAACAGTTTGTAAAAACACTGAAGAACTCATCAAATGAAGTTTAATTATGAGAAGTTAATTGTTTATGAAGTCAGTTATTTATGACTTTTCACAGTGTATCCTATTGATGGTTGTTAGAAATACTGTGGATATTGCCTTAAACTAAACATAAGCCTGTTGTTCACTGGTTGGGACAGCAGTATACAGTAGCACTTGTTTGTCTTTATTTAATTTGCCCTGCTATGATAGACCAAAGTAATCCTACTACTTGGCCAGTAAAAATCGTGACATACTGCAGAGAGTTCTCATTTGGTATAACCACACAGCAAAGAAAAATTGCCAGCTGGTATGGCTCAGGCTGTTTCATTACTGTGTAGACTTCTGGGCCCCTGGGTCTTACTTTGTGTCTGCCGGTAGCCTTTCAATGTGTAAATTACCACATTTTGTTTTTGAAAATAATTTGATGTTCTAGTTTTAAGGATAACCTAGCCTTAAGCAAAGCTTCTGGTTCCGTTTAAGGTTGCCACAATGATTCCACTTGATGAAGAACTGAAGAGGTCTGGCTCATCAGATGAACGGAGACTGAATTTAGGAGCAGTTGCAGATTTCCCACCACCTGCAGGCCGTGAGCTCATTTTACGCATGACTGTACCTCGACCTGCACCTTACTCTAAACCACTGCCTCAGCGAATGTACAGTGTAATCACAAAAGAGGATTTTCGACTTGCTGGTGCCTTTTCATCTGATACAACATTCTTCTGATGTCACTGGCTTTAGGTTCTCTTGTACGTCTCTGCAAGTGGAACACTATTTCTCTCTTTCCATGGAAATAAATGCTATGGACCATGCCAGTCTGTGGACAAAGAGAGGAAGGATAATACTGGAATAATTATGCTAAAGAATAACTTTTCCCTAATGAGTCGAACCAGCATCTCAGAGTGATTCCTGCATCAATCTGGTATTTGGGACAGCTCTATACGTTTAAACATTTCTTCTTCTTCTTCTGTCTAGAAATCTCCCCTCTATCCAAAAAGTTGTACTTGTTTGCATTAGTTTAACAATGGACATTTCTCTGGGCTTTTTACAAGTACTTCATGTTGAATTTATAGTACAGTATGTGCTGCTTTTCAATTCTTAATGTAGTCCTGGTGTTAGGCAGCCTATTTGAAGTGTGAACATTAAAATAGTTATTTATTATCATATAAAATATAATCTTAAATTCTGGATATTTTTGGTGACCTTTTCACTGAATTCCAATGGCTGGTTTTAAAATACTATTACTTTAAGCAAAATGTATCTAGAGAAGATTCTATCTTGTGCTAAACTCTTAAACATGCAGTATTTGTCTGAAAGAAGTCCTGGATTATATGCATTACATACGTCTTTTTCTCTGAAGCACTTACATAGATATTTTTGGCTATAGCAGGGTATTAAATCTTAAAAAAAAGGGTCAAGTAGCCTTAAATTTGTCATTTAAAGTTTTCAAGCTTTTATGTCTCCCTGTGTTGGAAGGGATCATGCCTACAAGTGTACTGTAGACAGCCACATGTTAGCTATGCTTCAGCTATTGTGCTAAGAGTAGCAATGGGGGATGATGGTGCCTCAGGCTAGCTGCCAAAGTATGATCAGTCTTGAGGCCCTGAGTTTGAATTTGGGTGGCTAACTGTAGCCATTATGGCCACACCACTTTTTTTTTTTTTTTTTTTTTTTTAAAGTGAGGTTGCTGAAGCAGAACTAATATGGCTGTCTATTCATGTTAAGAAGTATGCTCACAGCTAGTGTAGCAATACCTTAAAGGTGAGACAACTGGGCCAAAACTTTATGTAAATGATGATTAATTACTTAAGCAACTTATTGATGCTTATAGATGCCTCTTGACGCCACATAGTGTATACCATGCATTTATGTTCATATTGTTCTGGTAATAAAAATATTATGAAACACATAAATCACATGCTATATGTTGACTTTGTAAAATACCATGCAAACAGTGTACTTTTAACACAAAGGCTTATTTTAAGCAATAGCTTGTTTTTGTCTGAATCAAAGGATTATAGTGGTGTTGTAAACTGTCAAAATGGCTGTGAAAACAGTCTTGATGCTTGCACTTATTTGTCTTTGGACACTGTACAATAAATCTTAAATTGTAATTTGCGATTGAAATTCTTCAGTTTACTTGTTCAGTGAAAGTGGTAATACCTCGGACAATACATGTGCTAAGTATATCTCTGAGGATCTGGACCTTCAGCACATCAAGTAGCAAAATTAGTTAAGATCCCAAACAGTGTGTGAACATCCAGCAGTTATGAAGAAACTGGCATCCTCCTTAATTGTCAAAAGTATAAGCTGAATCAACTTGTTGATTCAGGAACAATATCACTTATATAGTGATAACAGCTTATACTTTTGACAATTAAGGAGGATGCCAGTTTCTTCATAACTGCTGGATGTTCACACACTGTTTGGGATCTTAACTAATTTTGCTACTTGATGTGCTGAAGGTCCAGATCCTCAAAGATATTTAGGCGCTAAACTGCCATTCATTTTAATGGGAGTTAACTGCATAAATACCATTTGAGCATCTGTACCTAAGTGACTTACACTTGTGTGACAAATTTATAAGGGAGTAAGCTTTTGTGAAATGCACCTCATTACTTCAGATGCTTGAAGAGAAAAAAAGGGAAGGGATACAGAGATAGGAATGTGACATCAGTGGATGTGAGTCATCTCCAATGAGCCACATTGGAAATCTTAGAGGGGTAGTGATATTAATCTGTAACTTAGGAAAAAGGAAAAAAAAAAAAGGGCTATTCACCCTCTGCAGTAACTGATGTTCTTTGAGATGGGTGTCCCTGTGGGTGCTCTGCCTTAGGTGTTTTGGTACCTCAGTGCACCCGGCCAGAAGATCTACTAGCAGTGACTTTGACAATGCAAAAGTGCTACACGCGGTAGGTGGCTAATGTGCATGCGCAAGATAGGGTCATATCAGTTCCTTCTCTGCCCTGGAAAAGTACGGAAATAATATCAAAGCAGAGGGGAGGAAGGGTGGGTGGTGGAGCACCCACGGGGACACCCATGTTGAAGAATGCAAGTTACTCTCTTCAAGGAGTGTCCCTGTGGGTGCTCCACCTTAGGTGACTACAAGTAGTTTATCCACTGGAGGTGGGAGCTTTGGACGGTGTAGTGTCCTTTTAGACTGTGGCAAGGATTGTATGTCCGAACGCAGTTTCTCTAGATGCATAGGAGTCCAGAGCATAGTGAGCAGCAAATGTATGAGCAGAGGACCAGATGGCTGATTTGCATATATAGGACAGGGAGATGCCCTGTACATAGGCCGTTGATGCTGCCATGGCCCTGGTCAAATGTGCATGAAGTTATGTAGGTGGTTCTTTACTGAAGATTGAATATGCTAGTCTTATGCATTCCACTATCCATTTTGAGATCCTCTGGGAGGACAAAGGGAGTCCCTGGGATCGTTCAGTGGTTGATACGAATAACTTGTTGGTTTTCCGAATTTGCTTGCTTCTTTCCAGGTAGAATGCAATGGTCCTCCGTAAAGCAAGGGTGTGGAATGTGGCCTCTGTCTGGTTGGCGTGGGGTTGGAGAAAAAAGACTGGTAAGTTAAAAGGTTCGTTACAGTGGAAAGAAGAGGGCACCTTTGGCAGGAACTTAGGGTGAGGCTGGAGGACTACCTTGTCCTTATGGAAGGTGGTGGAAGGAGGGTCTGCTATGAGAGCTGCAATTTCACTGACTCTCCTGGCAGATGTTATTGCCACTGGTAAGGCCACCTTCATGGAAAGGTGGGGCCTGGAGCAGGTTGCCATAGGCTCAAACGGTTGACGAGTTAAAGCCCTCAGAATCAAATTGAGATCCCAGGCTGGAGCTGGAGGTTTGATTGGTGGATAAATGTTCTGCAATCCTTTGAGGAACTTTTTGGTCGTGGGATGTAAATAGTGACGACCTATCTATGGACTACTACAAAGCAGTTATGACGGCGAGGTGAACCTTCAGGGAACTGAGTGAAAGCCCCAAATTTTTGAGTCTGGTTATGTATTGCAGGACCGCAGGTAATGGAATGGAAGATGGGTCGAGATTGTGGAGGTGAGACTAGGTGAAGAAACGATGCCACTTGTACAGGTAAGGTTTGCAAGTGGATGCTCCGACTCCTAAGGCGGATATGTTGTACTTCGTCTGTACATTCTGCTTCTAGTGAAGTGAGCCATTGAGAAGCCAGGCCTGAAGGTTCAGGGTGTGGAGATGAGGATGCTGAAGGCAACCGCAACATTAGGTGAGGCGATGTGGGAGCTGTGGGCGATGCCGTGGATGGTCAGCTGACATTTGCAGTAGGTATGTATACCAGGTTTGTCTCGGCCAGTCTGGTGCCATCAGTATGATGTTGGTGTTGTCTAAGTGCACGTTTGTGACTACTTGATGGAGAAGCAGTATGGGGGGGGAAAGCGTATAGTAGGGTTGTCACCCAGTGTATTGTGAATGCGTTCCCTAGGGATTGTGTTCCAATGCCCGCATGCGAACAGTAGAGGGGACACTTTTTTTTGGCACTGGTGGCAAACAAGTCTATCTGTGGGAAGCCCCATTGTGTAAAAATTTGATGCAGAATCATGGGGTGTAGTTCTCATTCGTGGCTCGCAGGAAAGTTCCTGCTGCGAATGTCTGCAGTTATGTAGTCCATGGGGAGAGCAAGCTTCGTGGATGGAGAGGTATGGAGGATGCTTGTAAGTTTATGCGGGGTCTCTGGCAGTGTGGTTAACAAGACCTTAAGGACCTCAGCTACCCTCTTAAAAAGGTATTGGAAAGCCTTGAAATCATCCCCAGATAGGGCTTGCGGAGGCACGAGTGTGTCCCCTGGAGAGGAAGGAGATATCAGTGTGAGTGAGAGGAAGTAGTGGATTCCTCGTTACTTAGTGGCTGATTGAAGTCTGTCTGGTCCCTTGAAGGTCAAGGGACACAGTGGATGTAGGCTTGGAACAAATTGAGCAACACTGTGATGCTATTGCTGCTGAGCCCTGTAAGGTGCTCAGTAGGGCCATGTGGGGGCCATAGGTAGTGGTAGCCAATGCGCAGGTTGCCAGTGAGGTAAGGCTGGTTGTGAGTGAGGGAATTTGAGCCTTGGTGTAGAGTGTGTGGGAGGAGTTGAGGTCATGATAGAAGCCTGATCCTCCTCAACTGATAATGGAGGTATGGAAGTGCTGGGGAAAACCCCTTAGAGTGAGGGGATGAATCAGTGCCAGACGAGTCACTGAAGGGATCATAGATTGTCTGTGGCTGTATAAAGGAAAAAGGAGGCATGGGTGGTAAAGAATATTGTGCTGGTGTATGCTTTGGCTTCATGAGCAGAGGGGCTGGCACAGGTGCTGGGGCTGGTAACAGTGCTTTGGTCCCTGCACCGCTTCCCTTATGTACAGCACTGCTTGGTGTTGGTAGGACCGACGATGCTGCTGTAGCCCCATGCTGTTCAGCCGTGACAGGCTTGGGCTTATCAGCATGTTTAGGCACATTGGCCAGGTCCTTACACCCTCGGGGTACTGTGGGTGAGCACTGCCCTGAGGAAATGCTTGTCCAGAGCCCCATTTGGGGGTGGAACTGGCTTAGGATGCAGGGATTGCCCTGTTTGCTGCTACATGTGCTCTCTTCTGTTTGGAAGAGGCAGAGCTCGCAGTTGAGGCGGGGCAACTGCCTTATCTGACATTGCTGCTGGTGATAGTAAGAGCGGGGATGCGGGGTGACCAGGATCCTATGCTGGTCTGAGAAAGCATTTGAGGGAGATCAGGTTGAGCTGAAAACCCTCTGGCTCTCCTGCCATGGCTGCCAAATTTTCACTGATGGCAGTAAACTGCACTGTAATTGCACAGACAGTGTATGCACTGAGAGTGTTAGTCTGGCAGCATGACTGACAACCCTTCAGGAAAAAACAGCATTTAAAACAGAGCCCCTGCTTGGCAGAACGCTACGAAAAAGATTAAGAAAATTTTTTTAAATCTGTGAAAAAGTATCTCAGACTTATGTGAGGAGGCTGGAGCTGAGGGAAAAGAAATTCCTCAGTGCAGAAGAGAGGAGTCCCCGGAGGGGAAGTGCTGAGGGAGACACGTGGTGGCGCTGACATTATTCCAAAATAACATAGGCAGTGTCTATACAGCAAGCAGTTTTTTCGACATGCAAAAATAATGTTGAGCTGGAGGACTTATTATTCAGACTCCTGTAACCCTCATTTTATGAGGAGTAAGAGAAGTCAGAGGAAGACTGCTCTAACTCAAACTTCCTGCTGTGTAGATAGCTTATTTCGGCTTTTGGTGCTATTTTGACTTAAGCTATGCAACTGATATAGCTCAAATTACATAGCTTATTTCAGCTTTAGCCCTGCTGTGTAGACGTGCCCCTAGAAACTAACAAAATTATATATAGTATCATGAGCTTTCGTGGGAAAAATCCACTTCTTCAGAATAGCACCTGAAGAGGAAATTAGTGTTGTAATGTAAGAACTGTTCCATGTTTTTATTTAAACCTCTTTTGACTGTCAGATTTGCATATGAATTTCAGCTAAGCAGTTTCTTGTTGCAGTATTTTTTTTGAAGTTTTTGCCTGAGAATGGTAACTTGTAAGTCAGTAACTCTGTTTGTCCAAGATTAAAATCATAGAATACTAGGACTGGAAGAGACCTCGAGAGGTCATCCAGTCCAGTCCCCTGCCCTCATGGCAGGACCAAATACTGTCTAGACCATTCCTGATAGACATTTATCTAACCTACTTTTAAATGGCTCCAGAGATGGAGATTCCATAACCGCCCTGGGCAATTTATTCCAGTGTTTGACTACCCTGACAGTATATAGATGTCTTTCTGTAACAGGCAGGCATGTGGACAGCAAAATGAGTAGTCATCCTGAGACCAAAAGTGGAAATAAGGTCAGACTGAGAATTGAAAACAATTTTGATAAATTGGAGGACCGGTCTAGCAACACTTCTTAAAGATGATCATGCTCTGGATTTGGCTGATCTCTTCTGGAAGATTTCCAGCAGAGCTGGTTTCCCTTGACAGAGAATGCTTTGTGTTCCACGCTGTCCCAGAGGGTTACTGTGACTGGTTCATAAATGAAAATTTGATATTGATGTAGCAATGGCTGCTTGTCCTTCTTCCTCTTGCATCTCTGTCCTGAGAGTGAGAGCTCCTTGGGCCAGGACCAGCCTGTCTTGAAAATCTGGAAAGCACCTAGTTCATCATGGGCATGACCATGAATAAACAAATTTATAACAACAACAAATAGCCTGGTAGCACTTTAAAGACTAACACAACATGAAGATGGTATCATGAGCTTTCGTGGGCACAACCCACTTCTACAGATGACCAGAGTGTTGGATGTCCAGAACTAAAATAGAGGACAAGGGAAGGGGGGAGGAAAAAAATTTTTGGGGGAATGGGGAAAAGAAGAGGCAGTTGGTATAAAAATATCAAGGAAAAAGCCAAGCTGGAATGTACCAGGAAAAACAAATATAAGCATCTAAAGTCTGGATAGTCAAAAGAGGCAGATAAGAACCATTAGTAGGCAATAAGAGGGGAAGAGTACTAACAGCTGATACTATACAGACAAAGAACTATTGGCACCTTCAAAATGCTCCCTTACTGGTTTTTATATGTTGCCATTTTTCATGTCTGAGTTGTTCATTTATTCTTTTGCTTAGAGACAGCTCAGTTTGTCCAATATACATGGTAGAGGCACACTGCTGGCACACATTACATTAATACATGTGCACATGAATGACCTTTCATGTTATAACTGATGTGGTTAGGTCCTGTAATGGCATCACTAGGGTAGATGTGTGGACAGAGTTGGAAACTGGATTTGTTCCAGGGAGTGGTTCGTGGTAGGGATATGAAAGGTTAACTGGGAGGCTGGAGCAGCTCTATTGTCTATTATGTATTATGCTTTAAATTAGCCTGAGTTTCCAGATACTGTGCCTAGCTTTACTTTTAATCAGATAATGTTTTCCTATAACTCTGTGCCCTTCCTTGTTGGATGATGATACCAGTCAGAGCTCCTGATTTTGTTCTAATAAATAGCTGAATTATTACACTGGAACCGGTTTTCCCCACCTTTATTAATGAAAAATTCTTCAAGTGACTGGTCATGTGCATTCAAATGAGGTGTGCACGTGCATGGTTTCCAGAGCATCTTTTTCCCCAGCGGTACCCGGCAGGTCGCCCCCTGGAGTGGCGCCACTATAGTGGAGCATAAGTATCGCTGCTGGCTCTCCCCCTGCTCAGTTCCTTCTTACTGCCAGTGACAGTTGTTGGAGCTTCTCTGTTCTTGTGACAGAGCCCACCGATAGTTAGTTGTTTGCCTGTTTGTAGTTTCTTCTTCCACTTATGCCACCCCAAGTTAAGGCCCACCTCACTAGAGCTCAGGCGTCCTCAGCAGCTTTTGTGTTGTGCAAGTTCCAATAGTTGACATTTGTAGAGCGGCCATGTGGTCCTCTGCACACGTTTATGGTGCACTATGCTATTACCCAGCAGGCCAGGAATGATGCTGCTCTGGGTTCTGCAGTTCTCAGTTCAGTTCGTAGTAGACCAGAATTCAGCTGAACATGTTTGACATGGCTTGTTTAGGAAAGTGGTTGAATTTGGTCGGATTTACCTAGCAGTAACCTAAATACACCCACTTTTCCTAGTCCAGACAAAGTTTTGGCAAACAATTTAGTATCTGCATCTGACTACCAAATGCAACTGTATTTAATGAACCAGCGCGCGCACACACAAAATCACAAACACACACGTACCTTGTAAACACTTGCCAGGGATATGAAAATGATATCCAGAGTCTCTGTAATACACCATATCAAGTCCTGCAAAACCTTGAAGTCATCCACTCAGATGCAGAAGTTGGAGGATGAGGAGATCACATTATAGACCAATATTTTTTCCCTTTTCAGATGATGTCCTTCCTCAGTTTCCTCCTCTCTTTTTCTAGATCTAGAGTATCTCTGAGGCTACACTACTTGGTCTAGCTGGGATGGCCTGTACTGCATTTCTTGTGGGGGATATATATCACTGGAGACAATAGATTATGCAGGGCCTCCAGTAGGGTCAAGGCTGGTGTGGATATCAGTACGGAAGTGGTGGATTCCTGGGGAGTATAAAGCAGATGTTCGCTATGAGTCAGAGTTCCGTTCTGTAAACTGTCATAGAATCATCTGTATTCACATTTCTTGACTCCCCGCTATGTTACCCAAGAAGAGGAAGATGGATAGGTGGGAAATGAGTGCTGTGCCTAGATGAGGATGAGAAGGTATACATTTTATCGAATGCAGGGTCTTTTCTATCAGGAGCACCCTGGAGAGGCTGGTACTGGGAATCTTCCTTAACATGACATAGCAATAACTCAGTAACTGGTGACGTATATATCACAACTCTCCAATCCCTTAAGGGAGAACACCTCTGGTATGGGACACTCAGGTAAGTCACTCAATACCATGCATGCTTTGCATAATGACAGTTGGTAGCAAGGAACCTGGTTCTGAGGGAATAGGTAGACACAGGATTTGGGGCGCCCATACTGAAATCGGTACCAAGAAAGGTGTGGCCCACAAATTTAACAGTACCATAAGCGCTGTCTTAGAAATTGGTAGTGGGGCAGTAGTTCTGAGAGGTATGTGAGCATAAAAAGTGGAATCCATGCAACCGATCACTTGAAAGATATTCTGTTACAAGGATCAAGCTCTGTCTACACCATCCCTGACAGATGTCTATCTAACCTGTTCTTAAATATCTCCAGAGAGGGAGATTCCACCACCTCCCTTGGCAATTTATTCCAATATTTGACCACCCTGACAGTTAGGAATTTTTTCCTAATGTCCAATCTAAACCTCCCCTGCTGCACTTTAAGCCCATTACTCCTTGTCCTGTCCTCAGAAACCAAGAGGAACAAATTTTCTCCTTCCTCCTTGTGACACCCTTTTAGATATTTGAAAACCGCTATCATGTCCCCCCTTAATCTTCTTTTTTCCAAACTAAACAAGCCCAGTTCATGAAGCCTGGCTTCATAGGTCATGTTCTCTAAACCTTTAATCATTCTTGTTGCTCTTCTCTGTACCCTTTCCAATTTCTCCACATCTTTCTTGAAATGTGGCGCCCAGAACTGGACACAGTACTCCAGCTGAGGCCTAACTAGTGCAGAGTAGAGCGGCAGAATGACTTCACGAGTTTTGCTTACAACACACCTGTTGATACAACCTAGAATCATATTTGCTTTTTTTGCAACAGCATCACACTGTTGACTCATATTCAACTTGTGGTCCACTATGACCCCTAGATCCCTTTCCGCCATGCTCCTTCCTAGACAGTCGCTTCCCATCTTGTATGTATGGAACTGATTGTTCCTTCCTAAGTGGAGCACTTTGCATTTCTCTTTATTAAACCTCATCCTGTTTACCTCTGACCATTTCTCTAACTTGCTAAGGTCATTTTGAATTATGTCCCTATCCTCCAAAGAAGTTGCAACCCCACCCAGTTTGGTATCATCTGCAAACTTAATAAGCGTACTCTCTATCCCAATATCTACATCATTGATGAAGATATTGAATAGTACGGGTCCCAAAACAGACCCTTGCGGAACTCCACTTGTTATCCCTTTCCAGCAGGATTTAGAACCGTTAACAACAACTCTCTGACTACGGTTATCCAGCCAATTATGCACCCACCTTATCGTGGCCCTATCTAAGTTATATTTGCCTAGTTTATCAATAAGAATATCATGCGAGACCGTATCAAATGCCTTACTAAAGTCTAGGTATATGACATCCACCGCTTCTCCCTTATCCACAAGGCTCGTTATCTTATCAAAGAAAGCTATCAGATTAGTTTGGCATGACTTGTTCTTCACAAACCCATGCTGGCTATTCCCTATCACTTTATTACCTTCCAAGTGTTTGCATATGATTTCCTTAATTACCTGCTCCATTATCTTCCCTGGGACAGACGTTAAACTGACCGGTCTGTAGTTTCCTGGGTTGTTCTTATTCCCCTTTTTATAGATGGGCACAATATTTGCGCTTTTCTAGTCTTCTGGAATCTCCCCTGTCTTCCATGATTTTTCAAAGATCATAGCTAAAGGCTCAGATACCTCCTCTATCAGCTCCTTGAGTATCCTGGGATGCATTTCATCAGGACCTGGTGACTTGCTGACATCTAACTTTCCTAAGTGATTTTTAACTTGTTCTTTGTGTATCCTATCTTCTAAACTTACCCTCTCTCTGCTTGTATTCACTGCGTTAGGCACACCTCCAGACTTCTCGATGAAGACCGAAACACAGAAGTCAGTGAGCATCTCCGCCATTTCCAAGTTCCCTGATTGCTTCTCCCTCCTCACTAAGCAGTGGGCCTACCCTGTCTTTGGTCTTCCTCTTCCTTTTAATGTATTTATAAAAGGTCTTCTTGTTTCCCTTTATGCCTTTATCAAAATACAAAGGGTGAAGGGAAAAAGAGAAACTTAATTTGCCAAAAACATGTCATGTTTTCCTGCAACTACCTTAGTTCAGTGTTTCTCAAATGTAGCTTGAGGCCACCACAGTCTTCAAAATGCCACAACTGTTGATGAGTATTAAAGTTGCCTTGTAAACCTCATAAATCATAGTGCACGCTCATTCTCTTCTAAAGATTATGGTACAGTACAGGCAGAGCTGAATTACATACACGTAGTTTTCTTTCAAGTCACAATTCCTAGTAGTCATTGGCTAATCACTATGTTTACATCTCATGTTATTGTAACTAAGTGGCTGCTGGCCAACATCATTAGGAAGATCACTAATGTTGTTTGAGAATGCTCATTGTTCATGGCACAAGGAAAAAGTTAAAAATGCAAAAGTATATTGGAAAGTTTTTCAAAAAATTCATGTCAGAACGACCCTTAATAGGATACAGAAATGGTCCCAGAGGGGCCACTTGCTGCTAAGAAAAGTAGAAAATAGTAGAAGAAAGAAAAACAAACATTTCAAGACCAGTGTGAAATGCTGCTGCTTGTTTCTGAAGCCATCTGATTCAGTTCCCAAGCAAGTTACATTGTGTGGTATTTGTAAGAATGAAATTAATTAAATTAAAATGTACGCAATGCAGAGTTGTTATAGCCGGCATGCAAGAGAAATTGCATAGAATTTCCATAGTGAGTAATAGGTGCAAGCTGTTAAAAGATGCAAAAACTGAACCTGAAAGACAAGTGACAGCTCAGAAGGCTACTTTTTAATAAAGGTGGTTCAGATAAAGGTGGCTACTTTTAGAGTTGCACTATTTTTAAGGAAAGCAAGGAAACCATTCAGTGACAAAGAACTTATGAAGAAAATTGTTCTGGGCATACAATCAGAAAATATGCCTGTCAAAGATATACCACTGAGCAATGAAGTATTCAGAGGAGCACAAGCAATCTGGTGAATTTTCTACAAAATGAAATAACTAAAAATGTCACAGAGCCCTTTCTACACGCTCTGCTTGGATGAGAACTTTGATGTCACAAAGAATCCCAAGGTAATTGTGTGCATTCGCTTTGATTGCCATTGTTTGTGTGAAGGTGTTTTATGTCTCATGAGCCTCAGTGACTAGCCAGTTGCAAAAACATTTTTGAATGTGTTCAGGCAAGAATGGAGTAGGGACACATTAACTTTGACGGTTGAAGCTTCACAGTGGCTACGTAGGGTGCATGCATAGGAGTGCTGAACTCAATTTTTTTTTGTTTCACTGTTTTGTCCTCTAAGTTGTCAGCAAGGCTTCAGTGAAAAGCATGGATGAAATTGAATCTGTAGTGAAAAAGTGCATCAATGTTGTCAATGCCAGTGGCCTCAATAAAGGGAGATTTGCAACTCTGTACAAAATGGGCTGAGAGATGCAAAAGGTGCTGCTGAATTAGTCTGGTCTGTGGCTTAGTTACACTGACAGACTACAGATGCTCTGAGCTGTGGAAAGAGGTTGTTGAGGTTTTGATTGGTTTTGCCAGAAGTGTCCCAAAAGTTACAAGATCCTGAAGTAGATGGCTTGCTATTTTTGAAAGAGTTATTACCAAAGCTTGCTTCCTTGGACTACAGCTTCAGAAATCTTACCAATGACAGTAGACACCACTGAAATAGTTAATACCTACAGAATGATAATCACAGTCATCCACCATTGTACTCTGCAGTTTTTAATGAGCTTAGTCAGCTTCTCAGCTGAAGGATGAAAATGTGTAGTGAAAGGTCACTGTAGCTGTAAGAAAATACCTTAGTATTCTTTTGGAGGATTTTAAAAATTGTTTGAGGGGGAAACTTTTTCTATTAGTACATCTTCGTGAATGACCCATTCAGCAATTCCGGTTCAGATTTTTGGCTGCAACGTACATAGCAAGACAGATCAGTTTCCTTTGACACTCTCAAGTACCTCCTGAAATGTGCACAAATGCAAGAACAAAAACTTACTTCAGTCACCATAATGTTACAGATCTGGAGAAATGTGTACCTGTTTGAGGACACCTACAAGTCCCTAGCTATAGTTGTTTTTCTTGTTGCCATTTTCTACTGCGGTGCTGTGTGAAAGGGTATTCAGTGAACTGTATTTTCCAAACACCACATACTGATATCACTGATGCTAATATGGAAACTTCCCCTCTGTTTAACAGGAGATTTGGATCCTGGCCACTTTCCAGTCATAGAGCTGATGAACTTTTGCATCTAGTTTGATCAAACCCAGAACTTGAATTTCGCTATCACACTGTATTATTAGTAAAGTTCAGTCAAAGAGGATTTTGTTTACTATTATCATTACTGCTGGATTAATCTTTGTCTACATTTATACAAGAGAAATTTTGGACATATTTGCAGAGGGTTTTTTATGTAAAAGCATTTTAAAATTTTACTTCTGAATTATATAGATTTTCTATTATGTTTAGGGCCCAATAATGAATATAGACAGTTTTATTATAACCTACAAAACTACAATTATTTGAACATACAGCTACCATATTTTAGAGAGTTTGTGCATCTATATGTCCATCCATTTATGAGTTTATTTGTTGAAAAACTCAAACAGAAGAGTTGGGATCACCAAATTTGGTATGCATTATCATAACCAAACCCTGAGCTTGCTTTAAGTTGTGCCAGGACAATAGGATGAGTATGGAATGTGATTTGATGTGAGAGCTGGGACAGATCTACTTAATCACAGAGGACCAGCAAGGCAGCAAGTGACCCAGCCCCAGGGAGCAGCTGCCAATCCAGGGTATCTTGCCTCTGCCCTCAGGGAGTAGGTGACCTGCACAGCCCTACCTTCACCCTATGGAGACGTTGATAGGCGGCCTGCACACATACCCCATGCTAGGCTGACCCCCACGTCTTCTAGTATGCTTATATTTGTTTTTCCTTCCGTTAATTAGGAGGCTGCACCCTGAGGAGAGAAATCCTGCTGTTATTAAATCCACAGAAATAAATTTTGTATATGCTAAAAATTATTTTTTTTCCCCCTGAGAGTCATCAAGGACATTTTACTAGCTACTTTTGCCAGTTTAAAGTGAAAACAACTAATAAGAGGTGATGGTCCAGTTTCTGAAATACCCCATTATCAGTTAGCTGACTTTGACTGTTACCTTTCCAAATTCAAGTGATCACAATGAGTGAGTGAGATTCCTGTCTGTCAGGGTGAGCAATGCAAATGAGATAGTACTTCCAGAACAGAGAATGCAAATTTTATTGTATCCAATACAAAAAGCTGTCATGTATATTCAATTCAGTTTCAGCTGGACTCAGTCATATATTAGATAGTTAATCTTTTAAAATATTATGCAACACATGAAAACAGCTGCAAGTATTCTGATAGTTAAACCGTTGTCACTTTATTCTGTCTGAAACATGTTAAACCGTTGTCACTTTACTCTGTTTGAAACATAGCCAAAATTATTGCTGAAAAGAAACCAATCCAAACTGAATTCCCCAACAGTGACAGTTATCAGTCTAGGGTATTCATATGTCTGCTATCACTTTAGTATCACAGCATCCCCCAAATATTGAAAAATAGATAAAAATAGAGAAGTAGAAAAAACTTTTTTCTTACATCATTCATTCTGTGTATTAGAAATAATTTGAGTGTCTGAAACAAAGATATGAAATAATGATTTAAACAAACACATCTTTACTGTAAGATATTTGCTCCTAGAACACCAGAACAATATAAAGCTAATAGAGCTAATTTCTGAAAGGTGTAGTTACAAATAATGTTGTTTGGAAACAGCAATACTGTAGAAAAATAGGTTCTCACACATACACTAAAACAATATTATTTATTCTATTTATTACAATAATTAGACTGTAAAGATTCAGAATTCTGCATCAGTGCCCAACCAAACCCATTCCCATACATGATCGTTCTGAAATATTACAACTAAATACATTTGCATTTTACATCAGTAGTATATATTGTATACTACTCACATTTTTACAAAAAATTTTGAGATATCAGATCCATACTTCGAAGCTAAAGAATGTCGCTTCATTTGGCTTCTTTCCTTGGCTTGTTTAGCAGTTCTCTGAAAGAAAGAGAGACCTGTCAGTACTAGTGATGTAAAATCCTCTTTAATTAGTTAATGGGTTAAACATGAAGGGGGAAGAGGGCTACCAGCTCCAAGCCTGCAAGTCAACAGCCTTGTTTGGGACAGAAGTGTGTGGGAGGGGCTGTGGCCTCCCAGTCCATGAGCCTGCTCAGGTTTGGGGCCAGCAGCCCCCCTTCCCCTGCATAATTGGATAACCAGTTACCCATTCACATCCCTAGTCTGTACATGTTAAAAATTACTTAGCATTGGCATTCTACATTTGAGAATTGGGGGGGGGTGTCATGTTAGATCAAACATGTTGCAACACTTATTTCATTATCTAAAATACAGAGCTTGTAACAGAGTGACAATTTCCACATGCTGGTTGAACTAAAGTCTTCCAATTTGACATACTCATTCCTTACGTAGTACTAAGTATAGAAGACAGATCAAGTCTGAATACTGATTTTCCTATTAAGAACAAAATCAGTCTCTCTTACTGGAGTTGAAATTCTTGATGTGCTTTTTTTAAAACTAGAATCCTGAAGTCTGATATTCTTAATAGATTACAGAAAAATAACGTATGTGGAATTTGCTATTTTTTACTCTGTCACCAAAATGTCAGTCAATTTATAAAAGTTATATTAATTTCTTCTGCAAGATGCACATGTGGTAGAATGAGACAACCAATTTTGAAAAACTGCGATCATCTAAATTCACGAGTTATACTTAAGAGATTTTAGCCAGCTAACTGTTGAAGGTGACTATTGAAGTATGTTGCAGACCCTGATGTTCATAACCCTGTCCACTTGAAGGCTGCATTACCATCAACTAGTACTTTGTACAGTAGACTTCCAATAATCTTTGGGACCTAGGTCTGGATTATCAGATATGATGGACTATCAGGAGGTACTATAAACTTTTTTTAAATTTTACAAACACACACACAGTATATAAAGTGTAACTCTTTTTATTGTAGCACAAGCACTGTCCAGCATCACACAATGCCCAGTGGCAGAATAACTTGGTCCCATCCGGTTTTGCTCGGTTCAGCTGCTGCCGCTGATGCCTTCTGACTCATTTTTTGCTGAAGTTCACTCACTAGGTTCTTGCCATTTTGATGCCGGACTATTGGGAATGCTATACAATTGGATGCCGGACTATTGGAGTTTTACTGTATTTAGTATTCAGGTAGCCCTGTATATTAATGCTGGGCAAACAAATGTTCTTATAGGTGGTTTTGTGAGGACTGAGACATGTAATATTTCTTTCCTGACATGGATAAATAGATACAGAATAAATGGCTAGAACCAAATCACATGGTAAATCAGAGAGCCAGGATTAGAAATCTGTAGTATACGACTCCAAAGGGGATTGGAGAATCACTTTAAAATTACAAGGTTATGTAAAGAGGCTCTATGCCTGTATCTAACTTTATTCATTGCACACCTGCATTAGTGAGAGACACTCATTTAGTTTAAAAAAAAAGACAGCATCTTCAAAAGCATCTTTAAAAGCTTTTTCTAAAATTATTACCATTTAATGGTTATGTACCTAACAGTGCAAAATAAGTTTGGTAGTCCTAGCTCAATTCTTTGTAAAAGCATGTTCATATTAAAAACACTATTGCAACTGGCAATAACAAACATTCCTATTGTGCCTTTCAGCAGTGGTACCAAAAATCAAACAGGATGTTTCAAAATGTACTATCATTAGATTATTACATAGCCCTAATAGTCTCTTCCCGTAAATTAGGTACAACAGATGTGTTAACATCACAACACAGAGAAGCTTCCAGTGGTGCTATTTATTTTGTACATAAACAATGAGAAATTTCCTATTTGGTAATTTTCTGCTAGCAGCTTCTCTCTTCATTCATAACAAATGGAAAATACCTTCCCTTCCTTTCTCTTCCTGAAAACTTAATTTACTACCCCAACAAAGAAAGTGTCTAAGGCTAACACTATAAATCAAACTAAGGCTTACTAATTGTGATTACAACCACCGCTGTCAGTTTTACTTATAGAGAACTATGAAACTCTTTTAATTCTGTCTATTTAGTGACATGATCCTGTCACATTTTCCAGTGTACTATATTGGTTTTGAAGTCAGCTGAGTTACAGTTACACAAAGCAGGAAATGTGGGTTAATGTTTTAAGGGAGGTAGATGCAGCTTAAATCAGGGGTCAGCAATCTTTCAGAAGTGACGTGCCAAGATTTATCTTATTCACTTCTATTTATGGATCTGCGTGTCATTGATACTTTTCAAAGTCAGTAATAGTCCTACTTACGTTTTAGCAGCTTCATTAATAAATAAAGATGCAGATCTTACTGTTAAGTGTGATCCCAGGTCTTGCATTCCCTTGCTGAGTTCTCTGATCCTGGGCTCATAGTTTGATACTTTAAGCAGCACACAAGCCTCTGAGTATTCAGTTGTTAACTGGCTCCGGGAGGGACAAAGAACTGACTTCATATGTGAAAATGTCTGTTCACAGAGTTATGTAAATCCAAATGCTGATTGCAGTGAAAATGCCACTTTCTTCAAACAGTCAAATTTCACAAGCAGGGTTTTATAACAGGTCATGAAGAGACCCCATGATCTCTCTTGGTAGCCTCAAGTGTGTGCCACAGATCCCTAAACTTTGAGGCCCATAAGTCTGAGCATTATAATTCAATGAGCTGCATTTTAAAATCCTCAACACCCATCCACTGAAACGTCAAATCCATATCGACGATAGTAAAGTTGTCTGCGGAAAACATCGGGCCAAAATGTTGGAAATCCTGAAATCTGACACAATTCTGATGAGCATTCTTACATGTACATTCTAATCTCAGAAACACTGATGGTGCAATGTTTCAATAGATGTTGGAAATAGTGGAAAGTTGAGGTATCCATGTCCCAAGAAAAAATGGCAGTTCCGCAACAAATGCCTTCCATTTTTCAAAAAGATCCATAACAGTTTGGCCTGCACCCTGCACAGAGGCTGAGTTCATTTAGATGCTTGGTGACGTCAGTTAGAAACATTAGTTGTGTGACCTATTTGTTGTCATCCAGTTTGGGTAGTTTTAACCTTCTGCTGACAAAAATCTTGATTGCATCAGAACAGTCCACAAAGAGTGTTAAAACTTTCCCACAGCTTAACCAATGAACACTGCTGTGAAGTGGAATGTCCTTGTATTCATTGTCCATCTTCTCAAGTAGCGTTTGAAACTGCTGATGTGTCAAGGCAGATCAAGCAACAAGAAAATTCACAATCTTCAGTGTGTAGTCATCACATTATTAAACTCAGCGTTAGAAATCTTGGCACAAAGATTTTCTTGAGTAATACAATGAAAATTTACTGTTGGGTGGCCAACTTGATCCTCAACGATCTTTACAAATCCCTTTTGTTTTCCTATGATAGCCGGGGCATCGTCAGTTGTCACTGAAAATATTTTTTTGGGTATCAATTCCTCTTTCCTCAAAATGATTAACAAATGTCTTCGCTATATCTTCCCCTGTTGTGCCATGCATGGATTTTAGGCAGCATAACTCTTCTCAAACTTTGTCTGAGTCTCCGTTATCTCGCAAGAACTGCTAACCATGGTACATCATTTATATCCACACAACTCATCAAGAACGGACACTAAGTGCCATTGCATCTTTTAATGCCACCATCTGTTTGTTAATATTTTCTGCCATTTCACTGACCTCTCCACTGACCTGGCAGGCACAGATAAGTCTTTTATTCTGGAGATGATTGTGTCTTTATTGAGCAAACCCCTGAACAAAATATCCGAACAACTGAGGAAAAACCTCTTTTATATATTCTCCTTTTGCAAATGGCTTTCCATGTTTTGCAACACATTGTAAATTCTTTGTGGCTTGATTTTTAACACAGAAGTCAGTAGGAACACTGCTTTGATTTCCGTATCTGACGATAACCTGTATGATTGACTCAGCTTGTCCGCGTCATCCTTGAAGTGTTTCTCACGCTTTGTTTGAAAATGTCATTGGACACTTGATGTGCGGCAAACAAAGCTCTCACTGCATACAGCACACACAGAATGGTTCTTATGTTGAATAAATCTGTATTTTTGTCTCCAAGAAGGCTGAAACGGGTGAACATCTAACTTTGCTTTCTTAGGAACTGCCATTTTGTCTAAAATGTTTGACCCACTGTTTAAGTGTAAAAAACATCAGTGGCTTGCATCTCAAGCTTTCCTGTGAAAGGGAGAAAACTAAGAGGATTTTTCTAGTGAACATACTCATACCATTAGGCTTTCATTGCGTGTGCAACTCAAAAATCTTGTGTGCCACTTATGGCATGTGTGACATACATTGCTGACTGCTGGCCTAAATGATCACTTATGTGGAAAATATCCTATTAATTCCTCCTCAAGAGGTTAAAAAAAGAAGGAAGCAATTTTTAATGTACCCATTATAGAGTACTTATATAAAGTAATGTTTTGGCAGTTTTATATAAAAAACTTTCATCAAACTCCGTATCAGGATTTGAACCTATTGTAGGCATATCAGGGTTGAGGTAGGAATATACTGTATCTTATACACTTAAGCCAATATTTTGAAAAGCAATTAGCAATTTTGGAAGCATAATTGAGACAGTTATAAAAACGACTTATTTTCAGAAAGTTCTGAGCGCTCAATCCTCAAAAAATCAGGCCTATTTAAAGTGTTTTGAATTTGGTGACCAAATTCACTAGTTACTTTTCAAAGTTCTGGCTGTAGAATTTTTCATTTACACTTCCATAAATTATCTATTTACTTACATATTCAGGAGTTATGGGTTCTGATTTATACTAACCTTCTTATGACAAACTGTACACAAAGTTTGAAGATTTTCCAGAGTGCACTGTCCTCCTCCACTATAAACTGGTTTGATATGATCCACTTGCCAGAACTGGCCTTCTGTTGGGTTTGTTATAATTTCATTTAACTGTGGTAAACAAAGGCACAGCATCAGAAGTTTTAAGCAGTCAACTGTGAACTGATGAAATTGTGTCCCACATTCTACAGTCATGTTTACATAGTAAGAGCAGAGAAAACATGGAGATAGCTCTTTATAGCTTTCATTGAGAAAAGGAAAAAATTGGGTCTTAGATTTTTTCTTTTACTTTTAACAGGCAACAAGGAATTATATTTTTAGAAGGCTTATTTTCATCAAGCGCACAGCAGTTTGATATCTTTTAGCAAAATACATGACCCCAAAGGTATATCCTAATGTATGTGTATTGAGAAAATTGGAGACCAGAAACTAAGTATTGTTTACAACCTGTCCTTAATGTCCGTGTAACGACTGAAAAAAAAATGTAAGAATAAGACAAATGATGCATTTTCAATCTTGTAATTTACAAAAAAGGTCAAAATACCATCATAAACTTCGCAATTCACAAATAATTAGATATTGACTGTTTAACAGTTCTGCTATATTTAGTAGTAAAGTTTCAGTTTTGTCATTGGGCATTCCAATGAAAGGCACAGTGAAATATTACAACTTTAAGAAAGCTTTCAAAATGATTAAGGACTACTGTAATTTAAATATAACATGGAGATGAACGGTAAACAACATAATAGTGTTTGTATAAAGGATGCAAGAGAGACTACTTGGTCTTTGTTGTTTGACCTCACTTATTTTTAATCTTTGTATCTTCAAATGTTTCAAGTTACACAATGCAGTTCTTGAAACAAGGGCTGCTGCAAGCAATCATGAAAGATCAGGAATATATTGTGTTAATTGCCAATGTCAATTTTTACTGTTTATTTCTGAATGGGCATGGGTAGAGTATCACATTTAAACTTTGATCTCTGAATTGATGCTTGTTCAGTAGGTGCCAAATAACATTCCCTCTGAATCAATGCTGTAGCAATGCTCCTCCATCTTGAACACGGAGGAATGGTGTGTGTTAGTATTCTTAGGAGATCTGGAAATTACATCAGGTTATTAAGACTTTAATGAACATTTTGAAATAATAGGAGGGTTCCACCATACCCCTCTCTCTTGTGGCTTTAATTGGACTTCACTTCCTGTCAAACTAACTGTATGTTGCTGGTGTGGCCATGTTGTAAGTCAAAAATAGCTGCATTTCAGTGGTGAATGAAGCTACCCTTATTATATAATTCATAATTAGATGAAGCACGTAATGTAATGCTCTGTTTTAAAACAAAAACAAGTTTTCATTTATTGTTTAGTAGTTCCAATAGGACATATAAGGTGCTTCCATCTAAATAATGTTAGTTTATTTTCAATATGTAGATATTTTTCTTTTAAGTGCAACAGATCAAAAATGAACAATTTATTTATTTTCAATAAAGTAATGTATTAGATGTATAATATTTCAGCATGTTCATGTTAAGACTTGTTTAATACTATAATATCCATTTTAGTCTGAAAAGTACTACAAGTTATTAAATGATTTTAAAGAATTAAAACAATACTGTTTTTCTGTATTTCAAATCTTACACTCTGTAGGAAAATCTGATGCCCAAAGCTTAATTGGTTATCAAAGCTTCTTAGTTGGAGCTTCACATACAAAGCTTTGAATCACAACCTGAGGAAACTGTAGTTACAGCTTATGCACCAGACAGTCTCTGTTTTAAATAGATTAGATATGACGGTCTGACTCTGATGCTATACTACCCAGCTAATTTCTCTCTCTAGCTCTTAATACATGAATTATGAACTAACCAAACAACCACACACTTCATTTGAAATGAGTAGCATAAAATTAGGGAACATCAGACACATCCCTCCTACCCCCCTCCCCACAAAAAAAACAACCTGTATTAAGCTACAAAAATAATGAAGGGAAGGAAAAGTTACTGAAGTGTTCATAACTCTGAGGTTCTACTATATTACAGAATTGAAACACTATGTTAAAGAAGTTTTTGTATAGTAGAAGTAATAATCAGTACATTCTTACATCTTATTACATTCATTATTAAATGCAACTTAAAAGCATCTACCTAGCTTAGGGTTTTATAATATCACTCAGCAGTGTACTATTGCACCTTCTATGTAAAATCTATAGCTATAGTAAAGTTCCTAGTGGATTTTGTGGAATTAGGCATTTCTCCCTTTTTGGGATCAAAATTCTACTTGGATATGTTTTCTTGTTTTTAGAATTTTTTTTTGAGTAATTCCCTTTTTCATTGCTATTAGAAGTAAAGGGATAGAAATTTCCATCCCAAGTAGTGCATTTGTTAAATATTTTTTAGGTTTAAAATGATGCAAGGAGCATAACCACCAACTACTACAGAAACATATGTATTGTGCATTACTATTAACACACCATTGACATTACCTGTCCTAACGGAAGCTGAGACATCCAAGAACTTTCTAGAAGATTCTTACGTTGATTCTTAGGGGCATTTTTGATGGTAAGATAGAGTTCCTGGGCATTGAGATTACAAAGCTGACAAACACCATGTTCTACTTCAAATACTTTACTCCTGAGATAACTCTGACTAGAGCGAATTAAGAAGTCTTCCTGGCATTTAAGAGAACAAAATCGTGTTTCCCAAGCAATAGATTTGCAATGTTGAACAGTTGGCTTTTGGCAGGTAAGACAAAGTGGATTTCCTTTATTATCTACAGCCTGTATATATCCTTTGCATATGGCAGGGTCTTCAACAACTTGAGCTTGAACTGAGTCAGCATAAAGAACAGGGGAAACTTTTCCATCCTTTAGAAGTAACCTGTGATGAGGACAAGAAGCAATTATTTAATAAGACTGGACTTCATCAGGATCAGTAAACAATACTTAAATATTCAATAATACAACTAATAGGGTTTTTAGAATCATGTAAAGTATCAACTTTAATGAAACCTCATTCTGCTTTGGTTACTGAATAATGCAATTAACTCACCTGAATTTCATTTTCAATTACATTTTATGAACTGATTTTCAGAAGGCCTCGCTTTTTTGTACATGCAAACTCTGTGCACACCCACCTGCACATTAAATTATTATATACATATATACATTGAATTGTTAGTTGGAGTTTCCTAGTTTTCCAGTGGAAATGCTAGTTTATATTTGCATAAAAAGGTGCACTGATAATGTGTATATACAGAAGAAAAGGATTCTATAAAATGTTACCCTTGAAGTTTATAATAAAATAAGTTGTAAATGGGATTAAATTCTTTTGAGGAAAATTGTGAGAACTTCCTGTTTGTCCAGATATTTTTCATGGGTATCTTGTAAGTATTCTGGCAAAGGCTTTGTCTATACTGGCAGATGTAAAGCACTGGCAGTGACAGCACTGTTCACAGAGCGCTGCAGGGAAACTGCTGTTGCATATCCACACTGTTAGCATGACCACCCTTGCAGCAGTGCACTTTGGGGAGCTCTCTCACAGAGCACAGATTCTTCTACCTCTGAGGCTTATGGGAAGGCAGAAGGGAGGGATCACACAGCATTCTGGGCATAGTTCCCTCTAGGATAGTGTTTCTTAAACTGTTCTGTGGCACACCAGTGTGCTGCAAGACAGTCAGAGGTGTGCCACAGAGTTCAAAATGGCCACCCTTAAAGGGGCAGATGACTTTTCTGTTTTTTGCTAACAAAAAAAATCCTTAGTGCTCCTCAAAAAAAAAAAAAAGTTATTTGGTGTTCCTTGGTCTTAAAGTTTAAGAAACACTGCTCAAGGAGTTTGCATGGGCATGCAGAAAAAAACTGACAGAAAACGCTAAAAAAATTTAGCAGGCTTAGAGGTCCTTTCCAGTTAGTTTTAGACAAACTCTCCCCAACATCTATAACATTTTAAATAAGTTAGGGGTGTGCGTGTCTATATAGCTCAAACTGGGATCTGAGTCTAAGCTCAAGGAGACACACCTCTCCTAAATCTGACTAAGCTAGCATGCTAAAAATAGTGTCAGCTGAGGCATCAGGAAGAACTAGCTGCCCTAAGTACTTATTCACCTGAGGTGCTCAGCATATAGGCTGGGCCACTGCTCGTGCTGCTTCCCCTACCACTATTTTTAATGTGGTAGCTCAATCAGAACTAGTGTGAATATGTCACCTTGAGATGGGGCTCCCACCCACAGCTCAAAGCACAGACATACTCTGTGTCTCACATTGCCTGTTTTCAAACAGGCAGCTTCCATTGGCCAGAAACTGGGCAATGGGTTCATGCTAGGGGTAGGAACAGTGCATGGAGCCTCTCCCCCCGCAGCTGTCAAACACAAACGACCTGGCAGTCACCTTTCTGAGCAGCATGCAGGAGGTGGTGAGGCAAACAGGAGTCTCCTTGAGGCTCCCTCCTGTGTTCATGAACTAGATCTGGCAGCTTGGCAGGCTGGATCCAGCCTGCTGGTCCTATTTTACCCAGGCCTACTCTCAATTGTTTGCTGTCAGCCTCACACGCTCTCATGTAAGTTCTTGATTGTCCTGACTGTACAACTTTGTTTTTCTTTCATATTAAACAATTCATTTGTCCATTGACAAATGTGCTAACTGAATACAATAATCTAAATAATTGTAGGAAATAAGATTTAGTTTATCAGCACAAGGTAAATACCTTCAGTCTTAAGCAATGCATCACATTAACATAAGGCCTCATATCTTACAATTTTGGGAAAATTAATCACTTAATTGTGTCTATTTTGTCTTTATTAATATTAACAAACTTACTTTGTGGACTGGTCATCTGTTTCTCCAGCAGAAGTATGATCATTTTTCAAGTAAAATGCAGTTTCCTTTGTAACCAGGCATACACTGCCTCCGCTGCTAGCAGCTTTCCTGAGTGAGGCTACAGCAACATCATCTTTTGTCACATATCTGGAATTATTACAAGTTGTTTCAGTATTCTCTTTTCCCCTGAATTGTATTTCAGACAACTGAATACTTCTTTAGAGAACATTCAAATCTGCAGAAATAATCCCCTCCAAATATTTCTTAACTTTCTAAACCTGGCATGAGTACAGTTTGGAAAATGTATTTTATTCCTTTAGCTTTTTCACAGCAGACAATACTTATTTTGTTTTTTAAAAAGACGCCTCTTTATTCTGCTGCCAACAGGTAATAAGCTATTTTCCGTGACATGTAATTATAAAGTGTCAAGAAAACAATGCAAAGCCTATTTCAGTTGAATGAACCGTTCCAGCATGATGTGTGTGTGGTTTTTTTGTTTGTTTTGCTTGTTTTGGAAAAGACACTCTTTGGGAAAGAATATAAGAAGCTTTGGAAATCATGGAAGAGTTCTGGCAGAATTGGTTTATCTTTGAACTTACAATAAAAATGCAAAGGATATTGAGTAAGACCATCCTTATTCTTGTAAATAAAGCTCTGTTAAACTTCAATATGCTCTCTCCCTTTAGTTACTTTTAAGATATTATTATTAAATCAACCTAACTGATGGTCAGGGCCACCAGGCCTTAGCCAAGTATAGACTTGTGAGCCACTCAAATGGCCAGCCAAAGTAGATGCTTATGTGGTAGGGATGTATCTGTATTAACCCTATCCTGGTCACCAGAGCTGCACTAATAATCTATTCACCCAAGCAAGTCCAGTTCTCGCAGCATGGATGTTGCTTGCTTAGTGCTATTCTATTCAGGTCACTCAGTGACTTGGCACTGCCATATTCATTATCTCATGTCTGTCTCCGCAGAGCTCCCTGCCTCCCTTTGTTGGTTGGCTCCCAACTTGTAGCAACTCGAGACTGCTGCTGAATGAGTCCTGTGGGCACAGCAGACAGGACATAGGCTGCTGAAAATGGGTGAGGTCAGGCAAGTGTATGGAGATTTGGGGAGTCCTGGGCTGTTGTTACATTTCAAAGGTGGAGGCGCCCTTATCAACTATTCAATTAGCCAATTAATCTAAATTTAATATCCCTAGTTCTGATACTACAGAAATGTGCATGTGACAGCATGTATTTCAGCATGGGCTAGCAATGTGAGCATGAGACTTCGGTGGGCACGTACCACCTGTGCCACTGTATCCTCACCGAGATGAAAAGCTACAACTGGTACATTTACATGAGCTGCAAATGATCCTGCTGCTTAAAGCGTAGCTGTAACCCAAGAAAGGAGGCAGAAGAGATAAATTTAGATTTAACCACTGACTGGCACCTTACAAGAATACTAAAAAAACCCTGGCATTTGAGGATGAAATAAATCACGACAGAGATGAGGCTGAGAAAGCATACAAGGAGATTCTGGATTATGAAATAAACATAAGTACAGGCAGTCCCCGGGTTACGTACAAGATAGGGACTGTAGGTTTGTTCTTAAGTTGAATTTGTATGTAAGTCGGAACTGGTACATATTGTAGGGGAAACTCTAGCCAAACATTTCTCCAGAGCTCAGTTTTATTCTCCCACACCTCACTTCCCTCAGTCCTTTATTTTCAAGCTGAGGTGTCTGCTGAGAAAAGCCGCTCTGCGTCTCTCTGGTCTGCTGGGGGGGGGCGCTAGCTTCGTGTCTCCCTGGTCTGCTGGGGGGAAGCAGCTAGTGTGGGGTTGCCTCACCCCGTTTATAAGTAGGGATCCGATGTAAGTCGGATCCATGTAACCCGGGGACTGCCTGTAGTCATTTATTCCTGCTTCTAAGCCTGGAGAAACAAGATGATGTACTTTGGCAGACTGAAATTCGGACTCCTGGGACCTAAAGATAATAAATGAGGGATTTGCAGGAGGAAAGACAAAAGATGAAGGCACAAATATGATTTTGTTGAAATATTAAATGAGGATAGAAGGAGATGAAAAATGGTGTCCAGTTTTCACCTAGAATGTCCGGAAAGCATTTCTTTTGTCTGGTAGTCCCTCCCCCCCAAGAAAATAACGTGATTTTCTGTTTCTCTTGGACAGAAGGCTAGTGGAGCCATTTTTCCCCTGCTGCGTCTGGCGGGGACATGAGAGAATTTAAAAGCACAGCTTTTTTTGTTGTTGTTTTGTTTTGCTTAACAAGTTTGGTTTGCCCTCCTTCTTTCCCTCTGCCTTTTTTTTTTTTGCTCAACCAATTCACCCCCTGCTGTATTTGGGATATTTTGTGAAGGTATCTGGTAAGCCTATAAGAAAAGTTATTGCTTAATGTTCAGTTTAATATTTCAACATGATCCCCCTGAACATTAGATAAAAATCTTTGTCCCCACCCCCCCACCTTCAGTAATGAATACAAAAGAGGAAGGAATAAAAAACATACCTTTTGGTGCTGCTCAGCTTGGCCTGCTGTTTAGAAATTTCTTCTGCAGCAAGAATAGGGCTACAAAAGATGTGGCTACTTTTTCTGATAATTTTCTGCTTCATGGCTGTTAAACTACTCCATTCTCTCACAAACCTCAGAATCTGGTAAAAAGAAACTCAAGTGGTCAACAGCACAAGTATTTAAAGAAAAATCTTTAACTACACTGAAATATTTTAGATTATTATATTTAAATTTATTTTGTCAACTGGAAAAAAGTTTTCTTGCCGGGACAATCATGTTTGATGTGAGCTTCAAAGGATCTGCCGAAACATTAAGACTTGGGATGGATCTAAACTTAAAATATTTTCCTATATAGCTATGTCAGAAGGTGCTTGGGGAAGGGAAATCACACACTTAATGTAGCTATGCTGGTAAAGCCCAATTATATATATAGACACAGATGTGCTGGAACAAAATTATTCTGCTGATTAACTTATCTTGTTTAAGGAAAAGGTTTTTAACTATACTGGCAAAAGATTTTTTTTGCATCTTCACTAGCTATATTGGCAAACCCTTCTTAGTGTAGCATAAAAATATAGACAGAAAGCTCAGTTCATCCTTTCTTATTTGAGCCAAACTTCCATTGCTCTCAAAAGGAATTGTGGCTCAGAAAAAACTATTTGAACAAAGTCTGAAATCATGTTCACAGATACAACCCATGTCTCACTTAAAAAAAATCCAATGCTAAATCTGTAATGCAAATTGCCTAGTTTCAGTACTAGTGGTGAATGGCATGACTACAAATGAGTTGAAAGAGCATTTTCTACTAAACCATGAGCTGGTTAGGCTTTGTGAAAAAAAATATACAGACTATTCCAGGTTTGACAGAAGCAATATAAAGGAACAAGCCCACTCTTCATACAGGCCATCATAATGATTTTCCTTTCCTCCTAACTTCCCTCCTTAATTTTATTAAGGAATGAAAATAAGTACCTATTAGGATTTCTCCCCCCACTGACTTGGAGCAGTAAGGAAGGACATAATGAAATTGGACATTTCAGTGTTTCTTATGCAAAGGTCTGATCAGGGTAAAATTTTCCCTGTCCTGTGTCTGCCTGAGGTTGAATATTTGTTGTAAAGTTTCAGCGAAAGCTGTTTCTGGGAATGAAGACAGAAAAAAGTATATGTTTTGACCATATATAAATTCTTACAATCATTTTGCTGAGATGCTCTAGCATCTTCATATTTTAAAGCAGGGACTTGGAAATTTCACACTGATGTTGGGGTGTTAGGAATGTGTCTTTTCCTGCCTTACAAAAATCCACCAAAATTTCACCAAGAAATTTCAATTTGCACGTGCTCAGCAGAGGTTTGTTAGAATCTTTGAAGAATTATCTCCTGGCTTCTATCAAGTGAGCACGATCCCTCATCCTGTAATGCTTATGTGCTGACTGAATTGAACATGCTCTATGCCGAGGCTGAACATCTCTGAAATTGCTCCTCCTAGCAGCTGGGAATGCTGTAGGGTCTGAACAGAAGAATGGAGGGCAGGGAAACTCTCTCCTACACTGGTGATGCAATAGTAGTAACCTAACATGACAGCAAAGGGCGAGAAAGCACTGGCGGAAACACGGGAACTTTTTAAAGGAGGTAACAGGAACAGAGGGGCCCAAGAATAGATGGTGCTGGGAAATAGGAGCAGAAAAGAACAGGAGAAGAGTCTATAAGCACCATAAATACACTCTTCTCCAGAGCCTGAAACTGAATCCAGAATTCTTGAGTCTCAACACTCCTTCACTGGCTAGTGAATAGTTGTGAAAAGCCTTGACAAAATTAGCTTCCTACCCATTAATTGATCCAAGTGGAGAGAATAGCTTTATCCTGCTACCAGGTAATCAGCTCAATTGGTTGAGATCTGTTCAGTATATTTAAAGGTCCCAGCCTTGTCATAATCCATGAGGGAATCAATAGGATTCCACATGATAGAATTTACTTTAAATTTGCTTTTCTAAGAAGATAGGGTTTCCTATCTTAAAAATTAAGTTTCCAATGCTACAAGGCTACCTTAAATTCTGAGAACTTGACTTAGAACCTAAGAGTCCTAATGCTGTATTTTGGATGTAATCTTCATTATAGGGACAAAACTCCTGGACCTTACAAGTTTCAGCATGTCATGCTCTACACTGATCTGAAGAGACGAGGGTGGCCACAGAGAACACTGAGAACTCCGCGGCCTACACGTATAACAAGTGTGACGCAGTCAAGCCTATTTTCTCTACTCTCAGTATGCAACGCTTAAAACATGACCTTTATATTATGTGATTTTAATAACTTCTGAACATCACTTATTAATTCTGTAAAGGAGAAAATAATTGATGTGATGATGATTCTATCTACAGAAATGGTAACAGGAGGTGTGATAATCTGCCAAGTAACAGAATGCACATTTATCATTCACATCAACATTTATAAAATCTGGCTGCATTGAGAAAATGTTACCAGAAACTGAAACCTGAGGCAGGGTAACAAAATATTTTCCATTTATAAAAACTAAAGAGATCCAAATTAAACATTACATTATTTCCATAGTAAAATTTGAAATATTGTTCTTACCAATGAACGATTTTGCTTCTGTTGAAAACTCTCTGGTAAATCCTCCCAATTATCCAATTTTATATCCAATGGAATAAAATTACAATTCAGTGATTTTCCATCCTGGAGACAGAATACAGACAATTTTGATAAATCCATTGAATTCTGAAAGAATCCAAATCCTTTATTTTTGTTTATAGTTGTAATTAGCACAATATAGAAGTAGTACTGATTTTTTTCCCACGTGGCTACTTAAGCAACCTAGTTTCCTAATATTAGAAGAAATTCAGGTTATTTGCGCAGTGAATATAAAAGCACAGCAAGATTATCAATTCAGGAAATCTGATTCATAGTAGTATACTGCAACAAGAGGACTGGAATTTTACCTCTAAAGACATTTGCATAATCTACACATATACATATAAAATCTATGAATAGATCTGAAGCACCAACTTCACTACATTAGATCTACTAGCGAGTTAACAACTCAACTGTATTGCATAGCACAGGGGATGACTGTAAAACTGTTCCTTCACAGTGGAGAAAATGACTTTCACTTTAAATCAGGTGTCAGGAAATGCTATGGTGAAGCATGCTCAGTGTCTCCTCTATGCTCGGAGCAAATTCTCTCTCAGCTAATTGTCAACAATTGAACCATCATATAGAGTCCATGCAGGCTAACGTGTTGTTCATGAAAGACTGATCAGAAAAAGAGCTCATTTGGGGAAAAATGAAGCCAGACCTCTATGATATATATCAGTACATAGGAGAGACTCCCTCTCCAGATATAGTTTTGGCTTAGAAGATACACTAATCTGGGGACCAGCAGGATATGAGCTCTGATTTTACCTCTTTTATTGATTGTTTATGTTCTGTGTACTGCCAAATGAGTAAGATCTCATACCATTTGCTCTAGGAGGCAAACAATCACCTTAATTTTACAAACAAAACTAAGAGCTTCCCTTCCACAAGCTTGTTTCTGGCAGAACTGATAGCAGAACCCAGATCTTGAATATGAATGATCCATGGGCCAAGTATGTGTCTTAGTGGCAGCTCCACACAGAGTCAAACACTTATTTCTACAGCTTAAGCAGTACAGGTTTACTTTGAGGCTGTAAAGGTATGAATACATTTGTTTTTCCCGTTCATTTAAACAAGTGGTTTATTTAATTTATAGAGTAGAAAACTTTCATTTAGGATGAGATCTACAACAGAATCCAGGTGTTCCACATTGTAGTTGCTACTGAACCACAACAGTTGGTTCGAAAATTAATAGTTATGAAATAGTCCATTAGACCAAAAATGGCTCCTTTCCAAAAGCAGAGGAGAAATAAAATGAAACATTGACAGTAACTGCTCAAATGACAATTGAAAATAAGTTTACCAATTTTTTTTTTTTTTAACTCCCACCTGATTTGGATACCAATGGGAGTTTTCTTGAATTTGCTCTATTCAGAACATTACACAAATGGCAACAGTTGCTTAACTGTTCTGAAACTTAGGAGACGTTTTGGTTGAAATAATGGATAGTCATAATTTTTATTGATATGTCGAATGTTTACCAATGGACAGTGGTGGATACTCCAACACTACAATGTTTAAATCAATACTGGATGTTTTTCTAAAAAGGTCTAGTTTTATGCTGGTATTATTTTGGGGAAGTTCTATAGCCTGTGTAATACAAGAGGTCAGACCACATGATCACAATGGTGTGTTTGGGTCCTGGAATCTATGAATGTTTTGCCAATAAATTTGTATTACCCTTTTGAACATTTTCAAGAATACTTCTGACTACAACTCTGATCCAACATTTACTGGTATACAATAGCAACTAATATTTTAGCTAAGTGAAAGATGGCTAAGTTATTGAAAACCATTTAGAATCATAGAACCACAGAGCTGGAAGAGAACTCAGGAGGTCATCAAGTCCAGCCCCCAGCCTAAGGCAGGACCAATCCCAATTAAATCAATCCAGCCAGAGCTTTGTCAAGCCGAGACTTAAACACCTCTAGGGATGGAGACTCCACTACTTCCCTAGGTAACCCATTCTGGTACTTCACCACCCTCCTAGTGAAATAGTTTTTCCTAATATCCAACCTGGACCTCTCACACCACAGCTTGAGACCATTGTTCCTTGTTCTGACATCCATTACTATTGTGAACAGCCTCTGTCCAAGCCTATTTGGAACCTCCCTTAAGGAAGTTGAAGGCTGCTATCAAATCCCCCCTCACTCTTGTCTTCTGCAGATTAAATAGACCCAACTCCCTCAGCCTCTCCTCGTAGGTCATATGCACCAGCCCCTAATCATTTTGGTAGCCCTCCGCTGGACCCTCTCCAATGCATCCTCATTCCTCCTGTAATTGGGGGCCCAGAACTGGACACAATACTCCAGATGTGGTCTCACCAGAGCCGAATAAAGAGGATGAATCACATCTCTGGATCTACTGGCAATGCTCCTCGTAGTACAACCTAATATGTCATTAGCCTTCATTGTTACAAGGGCACACTGTTGACTCATATCCAGCTTCTCATCTACTGTAACCCCCAGGCCCTTTTCTGCAGAACTGCTACTTAGCCAGTCGGTCCCCAGCCTGTAACAATACTTGGGATTCTTCTGTCCCAAGTGCAGGACTCTACACTTGTCCTTGTTGAACCTCATCAGATTTCTTGTGGCCCAATCCTCCAATTTGTCGAAGTCACTCTGGAATCTATCCCTGCCCCCCAATGTATCTACCTTTCCCCCTAGCTTAGCGTCATCCGCAAACTTGCTGAGGGTGCAATCCATCCCCTCATCCAGGTCATTAATAAAGATGTTGAACAAAACCAGTCCCAGAACTGAACCTTGGGCATTCCACTAGAAACCGACTGCCATCCTGACATCGAGTTGTTGATCAATACCTGCTGGGCTGGACCTTTCAGCCAGCTTTTTGATTTAGAAACCAAATCAGAGTCACACAAACATGTAATTGTAAATTGTACATATTTCCAAAATCAATGAAAAAGTAATAGAAAATAGTTTTCTTCTAGTTTTCATCAAGGAAGATGGCTTAGTCACATAAGTAAACACAAATTTCAAGTCCAACTAGGGATTTCTATTTTTCACCCTGGTAGAGTTTGGTGCAAGACTATGATGTGGTTCCTGACCATTGGTGAAAACTGTTTTTGGTAAAACAATTCTCAAACAGCACATGGTGGCATATTCAAAAGTTACCAGATAGCACTTTAGCAGAAGATATCAGTGTTTCTGAAAGTGTGCCATGAAATCACTTTGAGAAACACATTAACTGGCTGCCCTGGTTTGTTTATTTACTGGTGCCGCAGCCACGGAGCCTCGCGGCTCCCATTGGCTCCATTTTGTCCTTTGCAGCCAAGGGGAGCTGCGGGAAGCAATGTGTTTCTCAAAGTGATTTCACAGCACACATTAAGAAACACTGATCTAGATTATATAGAACCATTTTCAAGATCCTGATACAGAGTCTATTTATATCAATGAGAAAGACTCCCTTTACAGAAAGAAGGCCCTGTAAAAGCATTTTCACAAAACAATAATGATTATCTCTTTCTTCAACTCACATTAGCAGTAATTATATGGGCAAGATTTTTACAAAATAAGAGAAAAAGTTTGCCATTCTATTAACTTGTAATGAAATCCTATTTTACAGTGAAGAAACCTTATAGACCACTAACATTTTTACTTCAACAGATGATACAATGTATCAGCCTTCAAAAATATATCTATTGAGAAAAAAATGTTATCTGTAAGCTAAGAGCATAAAGTTCATGTTTAGTGAACTATTATGACATGATGGATAAGAACTAGACGACAAATAACCTAATTTTTCTACCGCTCAGTTAATTAAAAAATTACTTTAGACCTTAATCCATCCCATAATTTCAGCACACTGGGCTACCCACATTCTCCATACTTGCTTATCAGCTGCCACGTGACATAAGTCTTCCCATTTCATATTAAATTCTTCTATGTTGTTAATAATCATATACTTCCAAGTCATCCTAGGTCTACTCCTCTTTCTTGGTGAATCTTCTGGCTTCCTATAGAGAGCCATAATCAGTACTGTTCCTCATAGCTCACTCCTAATATTCTCCACAAGCAACTATGATGAAATGTATCTAACTTCTAAGCATCTGTTTTGTAAAGTTGCCAGGTTTCACTGCTGTAGCTTGCCATGGTTACGACAGCTAAGTAGATGCTTAATTTTGTATGCAAGGAAATGGTATTAAGTTTTCAAATGTTCCTAAGTTTACCAGAAGCTGTGTTCACTTTGCCGATTCTTATCCTTATTTCCTCAGAGCATGTACCATCTTGGCTTACTGTGCTTCCAAGATATATGAATCAACCCACCCTTTCTAGACATTCATCGTTGAGTTTGATGTTTAAATCCATATCTCCAATTACTATGTTTATACATTTCTTTACATTGAATTGCAGTTTTGCCTTCTTCATTTGTGCATCCTTGAAGTCCTTCAGCATTTTCATGTAGAGGTTGGACCTTCCTGGTCTGGCACCCTCAGGACCTGACTGGTCCTGAAAGAGGGAAATTGTCCCCAGCCCTGACCCCATCCCACATTGCCTCAGCCTGTCCCAGCCTGCTGTGGCCCCACTACCATCAGTGCCGCTGGGCTGAAAAAGCCCAGCAGGGCTCTCAGCTGCTGGCCCTTCTGCCTCTAGGTTCCTGAACCCAGGACTCTGATCCAGGAATATCCATGATCCTGCTGGATCAGAGTCCCAATTTAGGGAAGTGCACTATGTAGAAGACTATTCTTACATCACTGCAGACTATAATCAATGAGGAGCAAGTACAAGAATGGAAACCTGATGCACCCTTGCCTTAATTTCAAATGGCTTACTTAATCTGCTATTAATTTTAATAGAACATTTGGAGTTAGTGTAAAATGCTTTCTTTATGTTGATAAGTTTAATCAGAATTCCATACTGCTCAGCAGTTTTCCACATTGTATCCATGTTTACACGTTTTATGCTTTTTGAAAGTCTATGAAATTAATAAAGAGAGTTCCTTAAAATTCACTGGCATTTTCAAATAATCCTTCTTAAGGTGAAAATCGCATCTGTGCATGAACAACCTCACCTAAAACCAGATTGTTCTTCACGAAGAATGGTTGTGATGGACCCACCCCCATACTTTATGTAGTTCTCTTGGAGCTTTTTTATGTCAATGGCTTGGGCCAGTCAGGCTTTCTTTACAGCTTTTTATGTTTTTATCTAATGCTTGCCTTCAGTAAATAATGGTCACTACCTATGTCTGCTCCTCTAAAAACCTCTAGCATCTATCACAGATGTTTCTAATCTTTTACTGATACATATATAGTCTATTTCATTCTGTATTCAACCATCTGGTGCTACCCAGGCCTTATGAAGTGAGAAAATTAAAATATCAATACATATGTTGAAAATCTTTTATTATTACAAAGTAAAATGTTTTCCTATAATAAAGCATACCAGTATGTGAAACCTTTATAGATTGAGCATTGTGATGCTTACCGTTGTATAGAGATGAATTCTATCGGTATTCCTGCTTGCACAGAACTTCAACTCAACATACACTGGAAAAGTATCTGAGTTATCTTCAATTCCTATAAAAATAGTAAAAGTTTTTTTTTCAAAATACATCTATTTTCATTACTTGGAACAAAAAGGAAATAAAAGCACATCAGTAACAGAAACAGGTTAACCTGATCTAGAAGTCATAAGATGAGAGCCACATAAAAGTATTTTATATTTAGTGTGGTACTTAGAATTAAAACTTAGATAGGGTTCTAGCAAATTAAGCACTATCATGCTAATACACTTTTATCTAATGATGTCTCTAATGGTATAATATACTAGTTATTACTTCTGTTGTGCAGCAGTTTGGTCTGTTCTAGCATGTGACACCTTTCTATTATTGTACTTTCTATCCTTAGGTTGTAAGGGTACAGGGGGCAGTGTTCTTCTATGTGTTTATATCAGACCTATCTCAAGAGGACCTTGACTCTGATTACAGCAACTGAATGCTATTTGTATATCAATAGTAATTCATTACAAGACTGTATTTAAAGCAGGGCTAGATTAACATTTTTGTAGGCCCAGTGCTAAACATATTTGTGGGCCTAAAAGTGTCATTATTGGCCCGTTCAGACATGGGCCCACTATGTCAGTGTTGCAATATACAGTAGACTTCCGATAATCCGGCACCTTTTGGACTTAGGTGGTGCCGGATTATCAGATTTGACGGAGAATCGGGAGGTCCGGTACAGCTACATGGCTTAACAGGTGGCCAGGACACAATCTCCGTCCCTCTCCCGTCTCCTCTGTGTTGTAACCTGATCCTCCTCCTCCTCCCCTTTCCCCTTTGCTGAAGCAAAACACTCTTCTCCATACTGTAACACAATCCCACTCTCCCCCCCCCCATGCTTATGCTCCGTCTGGTTACAGCCAGCACGTATACTGAGCGGTAGGCTTTTTAATCAGCTAGTCAGGAGTGCTTGGCATTTTGATGCCAGAGTATCGAGAGTGCCGAACAGTTGGATGCCGGACTATCGGAGTTTTACTGTACCTGGTTCTGAGTCTCAAGCACTTTTCACTTTGATTACATACCTCTGCAAGACTGTATGTACTGCTCTATGGAGCTTCTTCAGCCTCCAGTTTTCCTCACTGATCTGTACACCTATGTGGGTTTACCAGTGTCTACAGTGACCAGAAATGTCAGTGATCAAGGGAGAGAACCCACAGATTTATCTCCTTCCTTATCTAGACACTCTATAGCTATGTTTCCAGGACCACCTTATTTCACCAGTCACTTGTATATGGTCCTGGTCTCAACTCAAAAGTTCCACAGCCAGCAGCTATGTTGATCAGTTCTGACAAATCCCTTCCCCAGCATCCAATAAAGTGGAACAATTTTCAGTTTGTGTGACTGAAAGATACCTAGATCCATATTCTAAAACTGTCCCACAAACAAACAGCTGTTAATGGCAGTTGAAAATAACAACTCTCGTCCCAGTTATCACTGGGAAGATGCCAGCATTTGTTGGTCAACTATATCCTACTTTTTCTAAAATAAATTACAGAGGATCAGTATTTGATTTTGGAGCAATGATGTAACAACAACCCACATTAAACTTGAGCGCTCTTGTTCAAATCTGGAAGGTGGGTGCTAGATTTCCTTCTGCATATTAGATAAATCTGGGGGGAAAAAAGCCCATTTCTGCTTCCACAGCTGCGGAAATACAGTCAAATTCTTCTGTGTGCCTGGCATTGTATCTAAAGCCATCTAAGCCCTCTAATAGAGACTTTCTTCCCTTACATATATTAACCTCTTCTGGTGGGGTCCACGTATCTCCCTGGATAGGCTTCAGGCTGGATGTGCAATGTCCACTCAGTACATCCAATTCCTTTTTCAGGGGCAGCATGCCAAAGCCACTAGTACCCCATATTCTGTCTGGGCAAGGCTTCTGAGGATCAGAACTGGGCTAAAGTTGTCTATTACCCTGTGCACACATTTTCCACTAACAGAACCAGCCCCTTCTTGCAGTCAACTCTCCATTCACAGCATGACTCACAGGTTCTCCCACTCACTCTTCCTCCCTTTCCTGTTAGCTGCCAAGGGAATGCTGGGAAATACACTCCTTTCCCTGCTCCAGGGTCAGCTTTTTAGGATACCTTGGGCTCCCCATTGTCAAATGGGTCCTTCTGATCTGGGGCCTGGAGCCATGGAACAATGTCCCTATGGTAAAGTCTGTACATTTCAAGTAGTCCAGGGAAGACAGTAGTAGGGTTGGTGAAAATCCATACCTTAATTGCTCACTCTTGGGCTCTTTAGGGAGCAGCCTGGCTTCTTTGCCGTCGGCTACAGAGTGGCACTACTGGGGAAGGGGGAGCAATCAACAGGAAGACTACCTGATTCACTACAGGAGTGACACAGTCTGGGCAGTGGATGTGAGGATTGCCTGATGCTGCTTGTGCAGAGAGGGGAAAAAAATCACACAGTGACCTGGCCAGATGGCCAAGTCAGGTTGCAGTCACACTATGACTCCGTGAATAGGAGAGCTGTGCAGTGGAAGATCAGAAATGGGGTAGAGACTGTCCAGTTTGTCGAATATACATGACAGTGGGGACACTACATCATAATCATCCAGGAACCCACCCCTGCAATCAGCCCTGGTGCCAACACTGTGTAGACGTGTGTACAAGTGATTTCATCACTGGACCCAACCACATCAAACACCACATCAGAGGCTCATTTAACTGCACATCCACTAATGTGATCTCTGCCATCAAATGCCAGCAATGCCCCACTGCCACGTATATTGGCCAAACTGGACAGTCTCTACGGGAAAGAATTAATGGACACAAATCAGATATCTGAAAAGGCAACACACAGAAATCTGCTGGAGAACACTTTAACCTGCTCGGCCACTCATTAATTGATGTCCAAGTCACAGTATTGTTTCAGGCCAATTCCACAAGCCAAATACACAGGGAAGGGCTGGAACTTAACTTCATATACAAGTTTGATTCTTATCAGAGAGGAATGAATAAAGATATCTGCTGGCTCGCACACTACTTTCCACATCTTAATGACTCAGCCAACCAACCAACCAATGGGTGCTTATAGAGATGCAAATTGCTTTTATCAGCTTCGTGTAACCTGAACAATCGAATCCACATTTTTTCCTCTTCTCCTCTGCCACCGTCCCTTATTTATTCTTGGATTTGAGCTTCTAATACTCCAGTCATCTGAAGAAGTGGGTTGTACCCAAGAAACCTCATGATGCTATCTACAAGTTTTGTTAGTCTTTAAACTGAATAAGGATAAGGTTCTGTCATGGTGGTCATTTTCATGGAACCTGTGAATTTTGTCATTTATTTCAACTACTAGACTGTGCAAAGTCACCACCACCAAGTACCAATGAATTTTTGCCATTTATATGTACCTTGCTGAGGAGCATTAAGAGTCTGCTAGTTTGCTTTAATCTAATCCTATTTCAAAGGCAACAAAATCAAAGCAAAGTAACAAAATATTAATATGTGGCAGCAAGGTTTTCTGTGACTATAATGTGAAATCATGCATTTTTTCCCCATGGCTTTGCCATACATGATATATAGTTTTACAGTGACAAAAATTGTTTCCGTAAGAACGAACATGAACACCAGGCATTCTGCATATCACACAGCTTCTGTATCTAACTGCCGAGTAACCGCTCAGTATGACCGCAGAAACCTACAAGCCAATCAAGAACAATGATGCATACTTCAAAAATTCACTGCATCCTGCTACTACAAATAAATAAATGAAGTAAAAAAAACCCCATAGAAAAGATGGGCAGGAGAAAATTAAAGGAAAAATAAGAGAAATGAAAAAGACGTTTATATTTTTATCCTGATGTGTGTTTCTGATTTATGTGGTGTATAAGAACTACAGACTAGTATCTGCAGCCACAAAGTTCAATAAAATAACAACACTGTACATGGACTAAGCGTTTGCTAACTGGCAGCTGCTCATAGGTTTTACTTGTCTCATAACCCAAAAATCAAACTGTAAACAATACTTTGTATATCTGTGGTTCTGCCACAGTTGGATGACAATACTTGGTTTAACCCACCTGACAAATCATGTGGCTGTACTACAGTGAAAATCAGAAATCTAGTCATCATTCTGCATACATCAGCTTTTCTATTTCAAATATAGTTTCCAAAACTTTGCTAAAAATGATTCTATATCCCAGTGTTTATGTTTAACGTAATTCTGCATAACAGTTATGGTAGGTTTGCTCTGCTAGGAATCCTATTTTTCTTTACCTTCTTTAAGCTTTTGCACACATTCTTCAGGTTCATTTTCAACAACATTTGCTATTTCTCCAGTGCTCTCATCAGATGGTTCAGTCGATGTTTGTGCTAAATCTTCTCTCTCATGGTCTGCATTGCATATTGCTATATCTTTGATATTTTTAGAGTCCTGTGATGCATTGTCTCCTTCACTCAGCATAGGAGGATCATTTATTTGATTTGTAGTCTTTTTATCTATAGTTAAACATAGCAAAGTGATCATTTTTACTTTATTTCTATAAAAATATGTAAGTAAATAATCATTAGGTAGTAATCATTAGGTAGTAATATTAATTTTATATTTGATATATAAAGTATCATAAAATGTATTTTGGTTGTAATAATCCAGCAGTTAGTTCTGAACAATAGCTGTGCCATAAAAGAAATTAGATTTAGATTGGCTACAATAACAAATAATTGTAAACTATTAAACACCTGAAGTTTGTAATGTTTAAGTTTAAACATCAGTATTACAAATAATTTAATCTGCATGAAGTTGAAAATTAATAATTATTCAGCATATTATTCCTAATATTAACACATTTCAATACAACTTGTAAATTTCCACTTATGCAGTACTTATTCATCTTAGGAAAATGTATAGATCAATTGATTCCTCTCTCTCCTACCCACAGCAAATATATTTTATTTTAGAAACCAGAACTTAAGTCTGTGAAATCAATTAGAACCAATATAATTATTTTAGTTTCTATAATGTTAAGGCAATTTTAGTGGTTATGAGACGTGCCAGATTTGTGTTTCCAATGCCATCAGTCCTCTATGGCAGGGGTGGACCTTCTTTGGGTTGGGGGCCACTGACCCACAAAAAAAAAAAAATCAGTTGGAGGATCCCCCTCTCACTGATGTGGCCCGCTGACTGAAAAACAGAAAGACATTTCCTACATTCCCTTCACACACCAGAACCTTGGGGGGGGGGGGGTCCAGGCTAGTAGATTGTGTGTGCTTCATCTCTGCAGGGGACTGGAGCATCATTGACGGCTCCCCAATATTGGGGGGAAGCCCCGAGCCTCAGGGACCAGATCCAGGTAAGCTGGAGGCCGCATCCAGCCTCCAGGACTCAGATTCCCCACTCCTGCTCTATGGAATAGACATTGCACAGGCACTGTTCACCCATGTGTATCAGCCAGAGAAGTGAACAGATATTCCAAGTCCATGACACAAACTATCCTTGATCTCCACTGCTGAAACTGTGAACAATCATACCAACTGTGGTAATGGCATTTATTTTATAACTGTGTCACCTAAGAACTGGACTGTGTCCATTAATGAGAACCCTGTAGCAAAATAATTAGCAATGTAAGCCATAAGCCAAGTCACTACTCAACTACTTGCCCCCCCCCCCCGACTTGCTGCCTGTATATTAGAGGCAGCAAGGAGTGGGGAGCAAGAGCTCGTGCTGGGGCATGCCAGCTTAAAAGCTGGTTCCTTCCAGCACCATCTCCATAGGACTTGTGCTGGGTCCCAGACCGCTGTGGCTCTGCTTTTTAAAAGCTGTAAGAGCAGAATCACAGCAGTCTGGGATCCGGTGTAAGCCAGGACTGCTTAGTCTTGGCTCACACCAGATCCCCTGCTGTGACTCTGCCTTTTAAATGTATTAAGAGCCTGCCCAGTCCCGGCTCATGAGTCCCCAGGAGCTAACCCCCTTTTTGACTAATCAAGTAGTCGATGGAAATTCCATCGATTATTCGATTAGCTTATTAACCACTACTTAACATCTCTAAACTAATATGATCCTCTTACATGCTAATAGTTAGTTTTAAAGAGGTACAGACAGTATGTTATATATGCATCTTAATTTTGAAATATAAAACAGTAGATATGGTGAATAAAAACTGTACGTTGTACAATAAGCTCAGCAGGACCAGTAATTGTCTAAGGGTCATTTTCTGTTTTGCTAGTGAGAACTGAACTTTAAAAGATGTCCTTTAGTTGATTATGTTGTTTCAAAAATAAAATAAGGGCAGTAACTGTTATTATTTCTGTTTAAACCAGCTTCCCCCAGCATTTGATCCTGCTCCCCAACCTTGCTGCCTCTCTCTGATAGAGGCAGTAAGGGGGGGGGGGGGGGGGTTAGTCAACTATCCGATAAGCATTTGCTTATCGGTTAGTTGACTAATCGCTTACATCCCTGATTTGTGCTAAGTTAATGTCAGATCACAAGAACTTTCAGAAATAAGTTCCTGACCAAAATCAGGTGACATTTTCAAAGATTCCAACTCATGTGATGATTTTGTTCTTCATATTTTGTCTGAATTTTTAAATACTCATGTATTTCATTACAAAAACATAATATCTGAAGCAAAACAAAATACAAATATGACTATTCAGTTGCAGTGTGCAACATGAGTTACTCACCATCATTGCTACGAGGACATTCACAGATTTCACAGTAAGTTAGTAATGAATTATTAGTGTAAGTGCAAAGACTACAACACCAGGCTTTGGCTGAAGATGTTTTTTCCCTTGAATTAGACGGTAAGCCATCAGAAATACCATGATCCATTTTTTCTGTATACAAAAAGTTTGTTTTTCCAGACAAAGATTTTTTCTTTTTCTTACTGGAGCTGCTTCCTGTTGGTGTACTGATGGCTCTTGGTCTTTTAACTTCAGGTTCACTGTCATCTTCATAACAAATTGTGTTCACATCAATTCTTTCTTTGGAATTCATATGCTTGCTCCCCTCTATCTCCATTCCCGATGTGACTTTAAAATCCCCTAAGCTAAAATTCAGTGATTTATCCAGAGAGTCAATTTTGCGTTTTTTCTCAGTAGATGGTTTTGGAGAAAAGAAGGAACGAATGTCATGTTGTTTTTCTTTTTCAAACTAGGGAAGGGAAACAAACATTAGAAAACCTATATCTCCAAAATTCCTTAAGTAGATATATTCTCCTGTTTCAAGTTGTAATATCTTTTACTCAATTACAATTTTTTTGTACTTTCTAATTTGAGGTATTTTTTAAAAAAATAATTAGAAGAAAGAAAAAGGCAAACTTTCTATTTTAATGACAAACTCAATTTAAAATTTTAAAATCCTGTGTAATCAGTCAAGTGGCTAACTGTTATGTCTAACCAGTTAACGGCTTAAACCGGGGTGGGTGGGGAGCTGCTCTAGCTAGCTGGGTAGGAGCAGCCTCCCACCTGTCAGTTAACCATTCACATCTCTAATTTAAAATCAATTTAATATTATTTCTGAACTATTATATTTTAAATAATATACTCGTCAAAATTTTAAATCAGCATAAGCGGAGTAAAAATGCACAGAATTGTTAGTGTGGTATATGCCCTGGTCTCCAGGAGGGAAAGAACATGGTGGTGGGACTCTAATAGAAACCTAGCTATCTAGCTATAAAAACTACTTTAAAAATTTACTCTAAATAAAGCCTTTACAAGTACAACAGGACAGTCTACTAGAGGATTGTTTGCCATAGCCAAAGAAGAAAGCAGGTCTAACGACTGTCACTGGTGGTAAGAAGGAATTGAAGTGCATTGGCAGAGACCTATGTACACAGCCATGAAGGCATAACTCCATGTGGCTCCATATCTAATCAAACAAGTACTGCTAGCGCAGGGATCTGCAACTTATGGCTCACAAGCCAAATATGGCTCTCTACGGAGCTAGATAGGTTTCTTCTGGAGCCCCAACTCAGCCGTCCCACCCCTCCTGCAGCAAGCAGGGTTGAAAGAAGGTTGAAACAAAAATACTCCTTCCCCCCCCCCCAAAAACGGGAAAAAATTCTGTTGAAGGAAAATAAAGCAGGGGGGGAGGCAGGGGGAAGAAACCAAAGTTGTTGAGGAGAGAGAGAGAGAAAAAAAAAGGACTCCAAGACTCATTAAGAAGAAAAAAAAAAACATTAAAACAGCATATACCCTTTCAGAATGAATGTAGGGATAGTGAGTGCTTCCCCTTGGTCGGCAGCCATTTTGTGCCAGCAACGTTGCGGAACCAGGTAAGCATGGGGTCTGGGGGTGTTGGGAGCCGGGAGGGTGGGGGCCGGGCGCTGAGTGTTTGTAGGGTTGCCAGGTGCCCAGCATTTTCGCCTCCTGGCTGGGGAAAAACAAACAATCAGAATACACCAGACATTTTAGGTTTCTGGTATTCTCTAAATTTTTTTTTTTTTTTTTTACCCAACAGGAGGCAAAAATACCAGACTGTCTGGGTAAATATCGGACACCTGGCAACCCTAGCAGCAGGGAGCCTGCACTGGTGCTACAACCTTACAGCCTCCCCCCTCCCCCCGCAAGAGTGGAGTTCCGGCTTCCCAGGGGGGTGGGAGGTGGACAGACAGACAGGGACAAAGTCTCAAGGCTCTGCACTGGAACCAGCCTGCAGGGAACAAGCAGAACAAAAAAAGTCTTGGTGCACTGCTCTTCTCCTTCCCTCTGCATGTGGGAAATAAGCAGCCAAAATGGCTCCGGGTGCACTGGCCTTTATAATCCCTCTGAGAAACACTTCCCTGGAGGCTTCCCCTGAGAATCCTTCCAGGAGGCTTCCGGGGAATGGGAATAGAAGGTGTGTTACTTGTTTGCGTGCCTCATGGCAGGCACTGTGTAAGTGCCCCTCCAGATCCTCACCCCGACATTCACTTCTCCTGGCCACACAGCCCCTGCCCCCTAGCCAAAATCCCTCCTGCCCCAAGCCTCATGGCCAAAATCCTCCCTATCCCCAGCTCCCTGGCCAGACACCCCCTGCCTTTCCCACCTGACCGGAATCTCTCTGCCCTCTCCCTCCCCCAGACAGCCAGCTTGACCCCTGGCTGGACCTGGCACCCTCACTCCCTCCTACACACCATCTCCTCCAGCCCAGGTCCTTCCCTCCTATCCCTATCCCATTCACTGATAGCCCTGTCCCACACACTTAATATCTCATTTTTGGCCCCACCCCAGAGCCTTGGGGGGCCCACAATATCCACTAACCCTGAAACCCCAGAAGAGTAAATCTGGCCTGAGGCCTTGAACCTCAGTCCTCCCTGCCCCTCACCCCACTATAGGGCTGGAGTACCAGGGGAGTGAGGCGTTTCAGTTGGGGGCGGGGGGGAGGCTGGAGTTTCTTTTTTTTTTTTTTGCTTCTCACTTGTGTGGTTCCCAACTGATTTTCCTGTGCGTCAGTGGCCCCTGACCCAAAAAAGGTTCCTCATTCTTGCCATAAATCAAGACAACGTTGAAACCTATTGTGTTGGACATAATCTTTTACTTGATTTAAAAATGAAGCCTGGCCAACAAGCCCCCAATTGGGGCCCAGCCCCCACCTGGCTACAGAATCATAACACTCCTGCACCCCCGCACACACCAACTCTGAGCCCATCATACACGTGAACCTGTTGTCCTGAGTCCTGCTCATCCCCACATCCCTGGACTCCTGCCCCCCCACATCACCAGTCCCCTGCCACAACACTCCTGCACCTCTACACACCCCAACATTGTGCTGAGTCCATCACACATCCAATCTCCTGCCCTGAACTCCTTGTACACCACAACCCTCCTGCATCCTCACAACACCAGCCCCCTGCCATAAGATTGACAGAAGACAGACTAATTTCATAAATGAAGTTGGATTTGACCAGTTATGATGTAAACTTCAAAGAAATGTGTGAAAAGATGCAGCAGCAGAAGTCCCATTAAATAAAGTCTGTGAGTACAATGTTTCATTTATGGTATTATTAATCATTATGTCAATTATCAATAGTATTACATTGTATATTTTCAGTCATGCAAATCAGCACTCTTATACGGTTCTTTGTTGACCACTTGTTCTGACTTCTGATACAGTTTGGCTCTTTGGTTTGAAGAGGTTGCTGAACCCTGCGCTAGCAGAAACACCTGACAATTGTGTACGAGGCGCACATACTCCTGGTTGGGATTGATATGAGCTAGCACTCGAAGAACTAAGTGTGTTGCTCTATGCCTCACTTGAAGTACTGTGTCCAATTCTGGACACTATACTGTAGGAAAGATGTGAACAAACTGGAGTTCAGAGAATAGCAGCAGACATGATAACAAATTTAGATAATTTGATCTACAATGAAAGTTTAAAGAAACTAGCTATATTTAGTCTTAAGAAAAGCAGACGTGATAGCTTGTAACATATTTGAAGAAAGTTATTTTATAAAGGACAGTCACCAACTGTTTTCCATGTGCACTCAAGGTACAGACAAATAGTAATAGACTTAATTTGCAGCAAAGAAAATGGAGGTTTACAGTTTAAAGAACACTTTCTAACTATAAGAATAATTAAGTTCTGAAGTAGGTTTCTAAAGAAGGTCATGGAATCCCAGTCATTGGAGGTTTTTAAGAACAGCTGTTCAAACACCTGTCAAGAATGGTCTAAATTTACCCAGTTCTGCCTCAGTGCAAGGAACTGGACCTGATGACGTGTCAAGATCCCTTCCAGACTTACATTTCCGTAATTTCATCCTCATCAGACTTCTGTGATAAGGAAATACTAGTATCCCTATTTTACAGATAGGAGATGAGGAAGAGAGACTAGAGTCATACAAGAAATCTGTGGCAGAGCTGGGAACAGAATCCCAGTCTCACAAGTTCCAATATAAAATCTAATCACTTGACAGTCCTTCTACCGGGGGTAGGCGGGAGGGGGCAGCATCTTGATAGATGTTGAAAGTAGGTTAATCCAAGGTCTCAAGAAATGTATCTCTAAGGTGAGAGGCCTTTTTTGATCATAGTGGAAGACATCAAACCAAGGATGGATCATTTTCATTTCACTTTAAAAAAGGAACATATGAAACCATGAAAAAAAAAGAGGTTACTCATTTTGTGCAGTATCTGTAGTTCTTTGAGTTCTGTGTCACTAGGGGTGTTCCACTTCAGGTGCTCATGTGCTTCATGAGCCCATGTCATTGGAGATTTTATGTTAGCAGTCAGTACTCATTCAGCCCACTCATGTGCTCCATAAAATATCATGCTATACAATGAAGGATATATAGGACTATGTGCACAAACCATCCTCATTTCCTTTTCTGTCCATGCAGTTGTGAGAAGAAACTGGAGATGTGGATGGTCCACCCCCCATCTTTTTCACCTTGAGTGAAACCATGAGGCAATGTAAGAATGTGTGTGTGGGCCACTGAGCAATACTGTACTACTTTGAAAAATTCCAGCTTCGGGCACATGGTGCATGTGCATAATCCTCAGTGGAATTCAGTATTGCCCATCATTCAAAGTACCACTACAGTTGCTCAACAGGGTGAATAACCTATTCTTCTTTGAATTGTATCTCTATGGGTGCCCCATTTGAAGTGATTCCAAAGCAGTTTCTCCACTGCAGATATTTCAGGAACTTTTGTGAGTCTTCAATGCCCTCAAGAAGTATCTGAAACATGTCAGCCACCATCTTCACCAACTCCAGAAAGTGGCAAAATTGTTGACTACTTATGGCTATGGTTGAGAGGTCAGGATGAAATAAGAGTTTGAAGGGTGGCCTCCCTAACCACCCTAGTCCCGTTCTTCAAAAGCTTCTTTGTGTTGGAGGGTGTGGGGTTCAGTAGAGGAGAATGTCATCCATGCCTCTCAGTGCAAGGGAGCTTGAGTGTTTGCAAACTGCTGCCAATGTGCTGCCAAGGATCTCATTATGGCCACTTGGGAGCTGGTATATGTGAAAGGGTGGACCGGGAGCTGATCCCACCATCCCCATCATGGATGAGGACTCTGAAGGTATGTTTAGACTACATCTGTTTGTCGGAAAAAGCTACGTAAAATGCGCTCTACATTTTTCCAATAGTTTTATCAGAAGAGGCTTTTCCGACATTTGGCTCGTCTAGACGGGGCCAAATGTCGGAAAAAAAACCTCTTTCGAAAGCCCCCTTCTTCTCCGTAGAACAAGGAATACAGGGGCTTCCAAAAGAGCACGTTTGCTCTTCTGCAAAAGAAAGCGGAAGAGTAAACGCATTCCTTGGACACTGAAGAGTTTTTTTGGGATACCTCTGGTATCCCGAAACCCATACCCCAGCAGTCTAGTCGTACCCTGACTGAAGTATGGCCCTCTGAATGGTTGTAGAGGAGATTCCCACATCTGTAAAGGGAATCTTCCTCAATGTCCTCCAATGGGGAAACACCAGCAGAAAAAGGCTAAGAAGCCTGTGGTTCCAGGAAACAGTTATAATCAAGAGACTCAAGTCTCAGTACCAATACTCATTCAGGACACATAAGCAGTACTTGATACTTCTGAAAGTCAGATCAAGTGCATTTACTTGTTTGAGGTTTATTTTGACAAAAAAATTTTATAATAATAAATACTGATAAAAATCCAAAGTCATTTAAATTAATATTTCAATGCATTTCAACAAACTAAATGTGCAATGAAAATTGCTTATTTATCCATCAATTTAAATATTTCCTCCCCTGTTTAAATATGTTTTTACATGGTGGCATGCATTCTGAAGAAGGGCAATAATGAAGGTTTACACCAGAGACAGACTCTTTTTAGTGCTGTAT